ATGTTGATGATGATGATGGTGATGGTGGTGATGATGCTGGTGTCCCGATGATGCTGATGATGATGATGATGGCGATGTTGATGATGGTGATGATGGCTACGGTGGTGATGATGATGGTGTCCCGATGATGATGATGATGTTGATGATGCTTGCTGGTGATGATGATTATGGTGTCCCGATGATGATGATGACACTCATTATATTAATGATGATGGTGATGAAGAGATGATTATATGATGATGCTGATGATGAAGATGATGATGATGATGATGGTGTCCCGATGGTGGTGGTAATGGTGAGGTTGGTGATGATGATGATGTTGATGATGAAGGTGAAGATGATGATGGTTGCCCGATGGTGACGGTGTTGATGATCATGATGATGGCGATGATGGTGTCCCGATGATGACGATGTTGATGATGAGGATGCTGATGAAGTGATTGTGATGAGTTTGATGATGGTGGCCCGATGCTGATGTTAATGGAGATGATGCCCCGATGATGATGATGCTGATGATGGGGATACTGGTGACGATGGTGACGGTGATGCTGTTGTCCCGATAATGACGATGTTGATGATGATGCTGCTGATGGTGACGATGGTGTCCCGATGATGAAGATGTTGATGATGCTGTCCATGCTGATGGCGATGATGCTATGATGATGATGATGAGCCCGACCCCTCCCCAGGCGCGGCCCGACAACGCTATCCTCTGCTCTTTCATCCAGATCGTATCTCTCGGACGGTGCAGCGGTTGACTTCGCAAACGGCGGCGCCGATCGCCCCCCCCTTCTGAATTGAAATTGTGGCGGGGGCCACGCCAATCGGGGAGGGTGCGGGGGGAGCTTGGGCGCGTTTGGTCGGAGCCCAACAAGGGCCGCGGAAGGACAGATGGGCAACAGCGCTTCAAGAACAAGCTCAGCCCGGCCCCTCCCCAGGCGCGGCCAGACAACACTATTCTCTGTTCTTTCATCCAGGTCGTATCTCTCGGACGGCGCAGCGGTTGACTTCGCGAACGGCGGAACCGATCGCCCCCGAATCAGCCCGAATTGGCCCCTCGCCCATGTCAACAAACCAAGCGGGTTAAATTGTCAATATGGTTTCTGTCGGCGGCACCCTTCAAGTGTAAGCTGAGGCGAGAGGCCAGCGCAGCCCCGAAGAAAACGAAAGGCGACTTACTAAGAGCAGACGCACGGCGGCGGCGACAGAGGAAATCATTACAAACCAAAGGCCCACCCGAGGCCGTTAAAATGTCGAGCGGACCGTGGCGCCCCGAAGCCGAAAAAGCACAGGGGGACACTCTGGAGGTCCAGGCGCCACGGGCCCGACACCAAAAACCGAGAGAATTCTGAACAGACTCTAGTTGCTCCATGCAGGGACTGATTGCAATCGCCGGGCACCCAGCGGAAAAAAAAGGCAGCATTAGCAATCTTAAGAAGGTTGTGGATGCACTGGGCAATAGTTGCACGGAGCTGGTAACTACTGTCCCCTGTGTGATCAGCACTCACGTCGGGAAGCGCTACAACAACGCCGCGCACGGCACAATAACCGACCCACCCTATGAGCATCTTTCGGACGACCGAGAGATCGCACATGGAGGCGCTAACCCACACTGTACCGTGCTCACTGGACTCACAAAGGCATCGACTCACCTCACCCTTCGAGAATCCAACTTCGAGGAAAACTTGACTATTTTGTTCGCGCCCGAATTTGAGGCCTTGGCGCAGCTGGCGCGCAAGGCCTCGATCACACTCTGCGGCAGAAAGGCGGGGGCCTGCAAGACGTCGGTCCCGCCGAGCAGGCCGCCCAGCCGCGCGTGGATCGTCTCGCTCCAGTCGACCACGGCCTGCGGCACCCTGTTGAGCAGGGCAAGGTAGCGGTCGTGCTTGGCGTAGCGCAAGCTGCTGTGCGGGTTGCCGTGCCGCAGCCGCTCGGTGATCCCGCTGAGGGGGAGCTGGTCCACGGCCGCCGCGTGACTCGCAGCCCCGTGGCGCACCTGGTAGGCGACCACCGTAGGCGCCTCGGGCAGCGCGGCCAGCCGCTCCTCGAACCGCTTGGTGAATCAGGCCCCGTCGAACGACCAGAGCTGGCAGCTGGGGCCCCGAGCCCCTCGGAGGCGCCGCAGGGCCACGCTGCCGCCGCCGCCCCAGCAGGCCTCGCGCAAGATCACACCCTCGTCGGCGCCCATGACCTTGCTCCTCGCCTCCTCCTCGCTGGGGTAGAGGAGAAGGGCCCGCGTGGGCTTCGCCGCCCTGCCAGTCCCGATCAAGGTCTTAGGCGTCATGCTCACCAGGTCGGACGGCAAGCGCAGCATGCCGCCCCAGGCCAGCCACAGCGCCGTCGCGAACTCCAGGTCCTCCAGCAGCAGGCTGACCCCGACCACCGCCAGCACCCAAGGCCGGCACAGAGGGTCTCGAGTCCCTCCTCGGGCGCGGCGGCGGAACCCCGCCACCGCTGCCCGAGCCACCGGGAAGTTGCCGTGGCGAGCCGTCCCCAAGCTGGGTCGCAGGTGCTGCAGGGCAGCCAGCAGCCTCGAGCCCTCGCCGACCTCCATCACGTCGAAGAACAGGACGTCCATGTAGTTGGCAGCCAGCTGGTCGAGGCGCCGAATGGAGATCTCCGCCAGCGTCCCCTCGTTGGCCCACTCAAGGAAGTTCCGTACTCGCTCTCGGAAGGCGGTGCGCGTGGGCGGCTTGACCTTGTTGGTCTGCAAGAAGGTGAGCCCAGGCTCGACGTCCCCCCGCGCGTCGCCGTGGCGGGCCGTCCTGGTGCTCGCCCGCTGTCTCCTCAAGATCTCGGCTCGAGTCACAGGCCGACCCGCTCGACTCCGTGTCGCTGCTGGAGGAGCTGTCGGAGCTGAGGCTGAGGCGGTGGTCGACCCCGCTGGCGTCTCCCAGCGGGTCCTCCTGGTCACCATTCGGCTGGGCAGCTCTCTCGGCAGTGAGGTCCCGCCCAGGCTGCTCGCGCTCCTCAGCCTCGCCGAGGAAGCGCGCGCCGCCCGCGCCCCGCCAGGTGGCTGCCTCGCCGCAAGCGCGGGCGAGGGCCGAGGCAGCAAGGCCCCGCGCCTCGTCGGCCCCGAGCTGGCCAGCATGGCGGCAGTCACCTTCGTGGGAGCTGAGCGGTCGCCCGATGGCGCGGCTCCCCTTGTCCGCCGAGTTCAGCTCACTTGGGAACCAACGTACGGCTACGGAGGATCCCGTCAGGATACTCAAGGCGGCCAGCTCTCTGCACGTCTGCTTTAGAGCATAATGTGACGATCTTCCCTTTTCCAATGCAAGTGTCAAACATAGATTGTCGCACAGGCTCAGGATGACATGACCGAAGGCTCCTGCCCGCCGAAGCCGATGTCTCACACCAGTGATAAGCGCACGGCCGGCCCTCCAGACGCATGATGTCCTCATGGCGCCGCCAGCGCCCGAACACCTCCAGCTTCCAGGAGTCCGGCGGCAACAAGAAGCTCGGGTCGATCTCCTCGAAATTTACCTGGTGCTCGACCGATGCTAACACACACCGAGCAGGCTGGGCAGCGCTCGACGTCCGAGTTGACCCCTCGCTCTCGAGGGGCAGGACCGCGTCTGAAATCTCAGGGTCCTGGACATGGTCCGTCACGCCAGTCTGCTCCCTGGCCTCGTCACCTCGTTCGAGCTCGCGCGCAGCCTGGAGAGCACGTCGCCGAGCCTCGATGGCACCCTCGAATTTGTACCGCCAGCGCTCCTTACAAGGGGCCGCGGCCCAGACGTCGTGCTGAATCCAGGTCTTCTCCGTCACGGCGTAGCCTCCGAACCCCGTGCCCTCCAGGTCTCCTGAACCCGTGGAGGCGTCCGTAGCTAGCACCACGGGGTCCACCTCCAGCTTGGTGCCCAGGTAAGCGGAGGCGATGAGAGCTGCGGCCACGCGGCACTCAGTGCCCACCTCGGGCCAAAGACGCCGACGCCGCGGCCCTGCAGCCCGAGCGAAACGATAGGCACCGTGGAAGACGATCAGCAAGCAACGCCGCAAGATGGCGGCCCACGTGTAGTGGCCGAGGAGCGAAAACATGTCGTCACCGCTGCAGTAGCCGCGCTCGGCAACCTCCAGCAACGCCAAGCGCAGCCTCAGATGCGGCCCTTGCTCACGGAGGTGCGGCCCGTCTCGAAATCGAAGTTCAAGCCCGTGAACTTCTGATCCCACGGGTCCGACTGCACCCCCTTGCACTTCAGATGGCTGGCCTCCAAGCGCTGGTGGGCCTGCTCAATCGTCGCGCTCGCGGACACAGGGTCGCGCCCGATGGCGGTCGCGCCGTCGACGTACACGGCGACGCCCGCAGTCTCGTTCACGTCGGGCACCACACGCCTGTCCTGTATGATGCGGTTCGCGCTGATGCCAGCCGCGACGACCTGAGATGCCACCGGCGCTTGGCAGAAATAGAAGCTCCAGTTCCAGCCCATGGGAAGGGCAGTGAGCAAAGGCGAGACCTTGCCCTCCAGCCGAGAACCGATGTCCACCTCGGGCAGCGCCTCCAGTAGCGCGTCCACGGGCACCGCAGGCAGCACGAACATCTCGTCCTGCCCTGGCGGCACCCCGATGCGATAGAAGGCCGCCTCGATGTCCACTTGGCTCAGCGAGAGGTCGTGGCTGGCTGGGATCTTCAAGCCCCGCCAGACGCCAGCCGATGGCAGCGCGGTCGTGTCAGGATCGATGAACTCCTGATTGACAGCTCTCGTGTCGAGGATCATCCTCAGCTGGTTCCCCGGCTTCTCAACAAAGAACAAGCCCGCGGTGGAAGGGCGTGGGGAAGAAAAACGAATCATACCTGCCTTGTACATTTCACTCAAGAAGCGAGCATAGTGGCGTGGAGACCGCCGCAGCTCCTCATCGAAGTACGGAACGATTGGTTCACGAACCTGTTCGGGATCGCGTAGCAGTCGCTGACGCCAATCGCGCCACAACTCGCGAAGGTGACCGTCCAGCAGCTCGGAAGCGTCGCACTTCACGGCGTCGCTGGGGAGACTCACGCGACCTTCGGTGTACGCGATGGACTTCACGGGCTGACAATCATAGCCCGGTGTACTTCGGCACAGCTCGGTGAGGGCCGCCGCCGCAGTGCAAGGTGGCCCACCAAGGGCCAGAATTCTAGTACTCATTTGCTCGATGCCTTGGCGTTGACCCAATGAGAGAGACTCGAAGTTGCTCGACACATCACGCCCGCACAGCCACTTGAGACCACGCAGAGCTTCACATGCCCAGCGAGAAGAGTAGAAAGATTGGCGAGCACGACTTCTCCGATGTCGAGCCGAGGAGTGGAAGCCGTTGAAGTCCTCCCCGGCCCGCAAAGCCACGGGGGCTGGGAACTGCTCCCGTGGCGCCGCCATCACTGAGACTACTTGCTATCCGCGGCCGCAGCCGCTCCTGATTTGCCCTTCCCCTTCGGGTCGATGGCTGCCAACTTCTCCTTCAGGAACTTATTCTCGCTCGCCAGCTTGTCGGCGCGGCTCTGCAGGCCCGCTGAGTTGTCGTGGCCCCCGCTGCCACATGCGCCGCCACGCCGAGCTGTCGATCTCTCCTCTCGTACTTTGCGTCTCTCCTTGAGCACGCTCGCCTCTTGTGCAACTCATCCGCCACGTAACTTGAGAGGGCGGGCGAGATCATCATGAGACCGCGGGTCTCCGACGTGCCGAGGTAGATATGCTCGTCCTCGGCCAGATCATCGCCCGCCGCGCCCATGCGGTGGAGATGCCTATCCCTGTACTTATACTCAATCATCTGCGCCTTCTTGCAGATCAGCTCAAAGATCGCAAACTCTGACGCGTTCAGCTGGTCAAACTGAATGCCGATCCGCAGCAGACGCAGGCAGAAATCGTGAAAGTCGACCCCTGGATCTGAAGACGACAGCCCCGCCTCGGCCTCGAACCGAGCGTGGCGGGGGCGAGGCGCAACATCCTGGTCCCGAATGAAGCGACGCGCCCAACCCGCGGCCCTCGGGCCCAGCAAAGGCCAGGACGGCCAAGAAGTCTCCGTGAGCTGCTTCGCGCCCTCGCGGAACCCCAAGTGACGACCGTCTCCTGCGCTCTCGTGGATCGCCAACACCCGTGCGTCGAGGGCCGTCTCTGGGCTCCCGTACTGCACGAGGAAGCTGCCGTTGCCGACCTTCACGAAGCCCAGGCCCTCGCCGATCACCCCGAAGTCCACGGACAGGCTGGGCAGCTTGGCAGAGCTGCTCTGGTCGCTGCCCGCGATGATATACCACCCCTTGCTGTCTGGGTCGGGCAGGTTGGACACGCTCTCCCAGTCAGGCGGAATCGGAGCTGAATCCGAGTCAAAGCCCGCCTCCCCGGGCGCTGTTGGTCGTCTCAGCGTCGCCCCCACCTCGCCGAAGGACCGTGCCGACGCGGCCGCCACCGCCTCCAGGAGCTCCCGTGGCTCGGGTATCCAGTCGGCGCCGTGCGACTTCGCGTTGGCGGCTGGGGCCGTGCCGACCACTGACGCGCGGTCTCTCTGCCCGCGGAGGACTCTCACTGCGCCCTGGATCGCGTCGGTGTGCAGCATGTGGGGGTACATGTCGCCGTCGGGCGTGATCATGTATAAGATCTCGCCTCTCTCCTCCGCTCCTGCTGGAGGTGCTGTCCCCACCACTGTCGTGAACTCGGCGGCGGCGGCGAAGCCCACGACGACGCGCGCCTGCCAGCTCCCGCCCGCGCGCCATTGCACCCCGATGCGGTCGCCGATCGCCCAGGCCGCAGCAGCAGCCATTGGCGCCGATCAGCACCCCCAGCCGCACTCCTCCGATCAGCGCGGTCCCGAAAGCGACGCGCGTGCCGCCGAACACCTGCACGGCAATCGCACAAGAACCCGCCTCTGAGACCACCGCGCTCTCGAGCACGCGGTCCGCGAGCCAGGTCGCCGCTCTGAGCGAGGCCTGCACGGCAGCTGACATGGGCCGCCGTGAATTAAGCTTGGGCGAATTCGGTCGGAGCCCAAAAAGGGCAGCGGAAGGACACACGGGCAACAGCGTTTCAAAAACAAGCTCATCATGGCGGTGCTCCGGTGCTGATGCTGATGGTGGTGTCCCGATGGGGATGATGTTGATGATGCTGATGATGGTGGCGACGAAGGTGTCCCAATGATGATGATGGTGATGATGTTGATGATGATGGTGGTGAAGTGATGATGGTGATGATGATGGTGTACCGATGATGATGTTGATGACGTTGGTGGCGATGGTGTTGATGATGATGACGTTGATTGTGAGATCGATTGTGAGATCGATAGCGAAATCGATTGTGATAACGAATGTGATATCGGTCGTGAGATCGATAGAGAGATCGATCGTGGGACCGATTGTGAGATCGATGGTCCGATCGATTGTGAGATCGATCGAATGAAATAGATCGAGTGAGATTGATTGCGAGATCGGTCGAGTGAGATCGATCGAACGAGACCGATAGTGATATCGATAGTGATATCGATAGTAATACCGATCGAGTGGGACGTTGGTTCCTCCCCCCCCGAGCCTCCTTATCACCCGAAGGGTGGTTGTATAAGATCCATACGCACCTCTCCAAAGGAGTAGAACTCAGAGGCGATTGGTGCGTACGCGGGGCGCCGCGTTCGCGATTGTTCTGGCCGTTTCGCTCGGGACAGCCTCGGAATTCTGAAAACCTGTGGCACCCCTCGCGCAGATCGTGACGTCAGGGTCAAAAAAAACACAAGGGGAATTTCAACATCCTAACATAAAACCTTCAGAAACACATGGTGATATCAATGATTTTGACCCCGATTCTCAGAGAATGGCGATTTCGCCTGAGACATTCTCCTTCTGGTACCCCAGACCCCGCCTCGGAGCCTCCTGGGGGCCTCCTGGAACCTCCTGGGGCCTCCTGGGGCTTTCTGTACCTTCTGGTACCCCAGACCCCGCCTCGGAGCCTCTAGGGGGTCTCCTGGAACCTCGAGGGTCTCCTGCGGCCTCCTGGAGCCTTCTGGGGTTTTCTGGGGGCCTCCTGGAGCCTCCTGGGGTCTCCTGGGGCCTCCTGAAGCCGCCTGGGGCCTCCTGGGGCCTTCTGGGGCCTCAGAACTACATGCGCACACAGAGACACAAATCACACCCAACACATCACACGCTAGACAAACTTAACACACGCAACACCTACAACGCACAGAAAACACGCACAACACAGAGCACACATCACACACGACCACACACCACTCACAATCCTGTAGCCTCCTGTAGCCTCTTCCGGTATCCAAGTCGGGCCTCCTGAGGCTTCCTGGGGGGCCCTGGTACACACATCGGAAGGTGTGGCAACCCCACTTGCGCTCGAGTGCGACCTGGTTATTGTATTCCTCTCCCAGCAGCTATCCTCCTCCTCTTCTCCTGTTGCAAACACATGTTTTTATCATTTTTTGTATGAGCCTGGGCACACACGTGCCACTTGTGTGTATATATATATATATATATATATATATATATATATGTATATGTCCTCCTATCTCTCTATCTCACTACGCGCGTCCTACCCCCTCTCTCTATCTCTCTCTCTCTCTCTCTTTATCATTTCCCTCTCTTCATACACTTGTGGCGTCCTCTTGCTCTCTCTCCCTCTCTCACTCTCTCTCTTTCTCTATCTCTCTCTCTCTCTGTCGCTCTCTCGCTCTCTATCTCTCTCTCTCTCTCGTTCTGTCTCCTTCTCTCTCTCTCTCTTGCCCTCCCTCCCTCGCCCCCTCGTTCTCTTGCTGCCCTCCGCCTGCCGTCCGCCAGGTGCGGCTGTCGTTCGCGCGTGCGATGGACCCCCTTCCCGCGGCCGCGCGCCGCGACCCGCCCGCGACCAGCTTGCGACCCACGCCGCATCGTTTGGCGTTTCCTCCTCGGCCTCCTCCTTTTGCTCCTCGGCCTTGTCCTCGTTTGATCTATCCTCCCCAGCCTTATCATCAGCACCCTCAGCTCCGATGGCCATCTTCACCATCACAACCATCACCATCATCGTCGCATGCGTCACCATGATCACCATCACCATCACTATCATCAGGTGTTTTCTGCAAACAACGCAGCGTCGATGCTGATGCTGATGATGATGACGTAGATGATAAGTCAGCGGGAGATGCGGATGGTGATGATGACATGGGTGGTGAACATTGTGTTGACAGTGTAGATGGTATTTGCAATGATGATGATGATGGCGATGGTGATGCTGATGATGATGGGGATGATGATGTGGTTGGAATTTGCCCGACAGTTGCGCCTCCGCCCAGAACTGGGTGAAGGAGCACCAGGCGGACAGGCTCACTCACCCAGGGCAGCGCTGGAGCTGGCCCGAGGGCTGACCAAGACAATGAGTTTGGTCATCAAGACGGGAATTGCATTAAAATCCTGCTGGTGACTATGATGTCATCGTGGGCATCTCATGGCAGCTAAGATGATTGCGGCGAAGGTTAAAACGATGATGGCAATACCTGTGATGATGATGATTATGATAATGTTCATGGATGTGACGGCGATGATAATGATTATGGTGATGATGAGGATGGCGACAATGAGGATGGTAAGGATGATGATGGTGACGCTGATGAAGATGATGGCGGCCCCCCCATTCCACCAAAACCATGGCCATCCCGAGAAAAACGATCCTTGACCGACCGCGACCGATTCGCTATCGACCACGACCGATCGTGACCGATCGCGACCGATCGCGACCGACCTCGGTCGCGACAGTTCGCGACCGATCCCGACCGATCCCGATCCCGAAATGCGGAGGATTTTCGGTCGCGACCGGTAACGCCACTTGCTACCGGACTTCTTCGGGATCTCGTGATCTGGGAACTTCGGGCCCCTTCCCCGGGGCGGGTTGTTCGTCAGGGCTCCCGGAAGTTGTCCGACCCTTTCCCCGGGGCGGGTTTGTCATCCCGATTCGCTTCTGGATGGTCCCGGGTTCAGGCGCGAGGGCCCCCGGAGGCCGGAGATGGGCAAGAACCTTCCGCCGCGCTGTTCTTGCGGCGCGGTGCCGTAACGTCTGTGCGGAGAGGGCTCCGTCCAGACACAGACCTTGAGCAGATCCGGGCCGGGCAGGAGCGTCGCCGCTGTCTCCTCCTCGAGGCTCCGAGCAGGGGCGGGGCGCGGAGGGCAAGGACAGCGGAGGGCGGCGACGAGGGACGAGCAGGGCCTCAGTGGGCCCCGGAAGCAGCAGGCCCGTTGCTGCACCGTTCCGAAAAGGTGCCTTTTGATGGAGGCAGTGGAACAATGGCGATCGGAAACAGGAAACAACACGGCTCCAGGATGGGAGCCAGAACCGGAACCAGCAGCAAAAGCAGCAATGGAACGGTCACCAGAAAGGGGACGGACCCGGCAAAACGACGGCAGAACGGAACCAGTAGAACAACGGCCCTGTCGCTTCCAGGGCCCACTACAGTCAACACCTATCAGAAGGATGCGCGAGAAGGATGCAGGGACCTTGGACGTCCATGTCGAAGCTTTTCGAGATGGGCGCGGCCACCGAAAGTGGCGAAGGATGGACCAAGGAGGCGAGGATGCGAACGGTATCCTTGGGAAGGTTGCCCATCCTGACTACGCGGGTTGACTGTAGGGTCCTGAGGGATAGGGCCCTAAGGGCGAGCTGCCTCAAACAATGTAGATCTCCAACCCCGGGTCCATTCTTATCCTCCTGGGGGCCCTGGACATGGTCCCTCCTGCCCTTTCCCCTCCCATGTCCCTCGGACCCAAAGCTAGAGTTAACGCTGTCTGAGGCACCTCAGCCCTCGAGTAGGACATCGACCACCGAATTGATATCCATTGCCCGAGCAGGGCCGCACGCTCAGCCGGCGGCTCTCTCCGGCGCCTGGCCGTGCCAGGGCCGTGACTCACAGCGCCGCTCGCGCGGCGGCTGCCAGCCACTGCCCGAACGCGACGTGCAAAGCGCCCGCCACGGCCGCCAGGCCCAGCGCGATCCAGCCCATCGGCGCGAGGACCACGTTGAGCACGCTGCCGTCTAGGCCGCCCAGGTCGTAGCTGCTCTTGATCTTGTCCTACGCCGCGAATGTGTATATATATATACCTATACGACCACCCTTCGGGTGATAAGGAAGTTCGGGGGGGAGGAACCAACGTCTCACTCGATCGGTCTGACTATCGATCTCACTATCGATCTCACGATCGGTCTCGTTCGATCGATCTCACTCGATTGATCTCAAAATCGATCTCACTCGATCTATTTCATTCGATCGATCTCACCATCGGTCAGACTATCGATCTCACAATCGATATCACAATAGATCTCACTATCGATCTCACATTCGGTCTCACAATCGATCTCACTATCGATATCACAGTCGATCTCACAATTGCCATCATCAACATCATCGTCATCAACGTCATCAACACCATCATCATCATCATCATCATCATCATCATCATCATCATCATCATCATCATCATCATCATCATCATCATCATCGGGACATTATCATCAGCATCACCTCATCACCATCATCACCATCATCATCACCATCAACGCCATCATCATCGGTACACCATCATCGTCACTATCATCATCACCAACATAATCATCATCGGGACACCATCATCATCATCATCGGAACACCACCATCACCATCATCATGACCTCATCATCCGCATCCTGAACAACATCACCAACATCATCATCAATATCGGGACAGCATCATCATCACCATCAGCAACATCATCATCATCAACATCATCATCATCGGGACACCATCATCATCGTAACAATCACCATCATCACCATCATCATCGGGACACCATCATCATCATCGACATCATCCTCATCACCATCATTGGGCCACCATCATCAACATAATCATCATCACCTCATCATCATCCTCATCATCATCCGGACACCATCGTCGTCATCATCAACCTCATCATCATCGGGACACCATCGTCATCAACACCATCATCATCAACAGCATCGTCATTAACATCGGGACACCATCATCATCATCTTCGTAATCATCATCATCATCATGACATCATCATCATGCCACTATCATCAACATCATCAGGATCATCAACATCATCATCGGGACACCACCATCATCATCATCAACAACATCATCATCATCACCAGGACACCATCATCATCACCACCATCACCATCACCATCATCATCATCATCATCATCATCATCATCAACATCGTCAACATCATCATCATCATCATCATCATCATCATCATCATCATCATCATCATCATCATCGGGGCACGGACGGGTCACCGGCGGGACACCGCGCGGCACCGGCCCCTGGAAAGGAAACATTTGGTCCGGCCGCGTCTCAGCCGGAGGCGGGACACTGGCGGGACACCGCGCGGCACCGGCCCCCGGAAAGGAAAGACTTGGTCCGGCCGCGCCTCAGCGGGAGGAGACTTTCTTCTATTTCTTCTCGCCCGCCCACAAAATTCGCCTCGCCCGCACGCACGGCACGCACGAACACGAAACCGAAACCGATTTCCCGGTAGGGGGACTCTCCGTTCCACTTCGATCTCACCCTCTCACCTCCGATATATATATATATATATATATATATATATATATATATATAAACATGCGTATACACATGTGTATATCTGAATGTATATATATATGTGTGTGTACACACACTCACCCTCCGACGAACTTCGCATGTGCTTTCAGGGAGGGGACGGTGCTGGCTCCCAGTGGTGATTTATGCACCACCGCCACCCTCCCCTGACGCCTAGGAATTATCCATTGGAGGGTGTTTGTGTGTATCTGCTTTTGGCGGAGGTCCGTGATGGAGAACTCTCGGAAGCAAATCTTCTCCGTCGCCATGGTGTCGACGGCGAGGATGCAGCCGGAGAGCCAAAAGAGCGCCACGGCCCCAAGAAGCGTCGCGCGCGCAGGCGTGCCCAGCTGCCCCCAGTCGGCTATCTCGCCATATCTCTTCGCGCGCTCTGCTTCCCTCTCTGCCAGCTTCCGTGCCTCGTCGTGCTCTGGCCGATGCGCTTTCAGAAGCTGCTCCCCCGACTGCTCGACCCGCTGCATCACCCCGTACGCGAAGACGACGGTGGCGCCTGCCTGGAAAGCAGCAGCCAGCCCAGTGGCTCCAGTGGCGATGAGGGCCCACACTCCTTCGGTGGCGCCCTCCTTGGTCAGGAGAACCCCCACGAAGGTCTGTGGGATGATGCTCACCAAGATGACCGGCAGTGTGCCAAGAAGCATCTCGAGAATGTTCAGCTGAAGTATGCCGCAGAGTACGCTCGTTGGGAAGTCGGGGCCTGCCACCAATATGCAGACCTTGAACAGCCTGAAGCCCTCCTCCTTGAGCACCGCCTCCGTCGCCAGAACGCCCACCTTGGTCACACCGACGAAATTCTGCACTTTCACGGACTTGCCCATGAAGTAGCCGAGCGAATACTGACCCAGGCACGCCAGAAGCTTCGCCCCGCTTCCCGCCACGCACGCCAGCGCCAGGCCCGCCCAGATCCCGACGGAGCCGTCTCTCTGTGACTGGGCCCCGAGCACGACGCCGGTGAACAGATAGACCGCACTCCCAGGGACGACGGGGTTCATGAACATCAGCAGCCCGATGGCCCACAGCATCACGGAGATGGTGCCTATCCCAAGCCCCGCTGCCTCGATTTTCCCGTTCAGGTAGGAGAACCTGATCGGACAAAAACGGGAAACGCCGTTTTTGTCCAACGGGTTTTTTGGGCAGAGAAGAAGAAAAGGAAGGTGAGGGCGACGAGGAGGCAACGATGAGGACGACGTGGAGAACGTGAGGATGGCGAGGAGGAGCAGAAGGACAACGAGGAGGAAGAGAAGCACAAGGGCGAGGACGAAGAGAACGAGGGCGAGCACGAGGAGGAATGCGGAGGACGATGACGACGACGATCTCCCAGTCCAGGCAGGAGAACAAGATGAAAGTTGCCTTCGAACCGACCGCGAGCAGGACGAGTCCGCCACCCTGCCCCCTGGCACGATGAGGCGTGGTAGGATGTCAAGTGCTGTCTGGCTGGGCTGCTGCATTCTAGAAAAACAAGACCTCCTCCTCCTCCTCGTCCTCCTCCTCCTCCTCCTTGTCCTCCTCCTCCTCCTCTTCCTCCTCCTCCTCCCCCCACTCCTCCTCCTCCTCCTCCTCCTCCTTTTCCTCCTCTTCCTCCTCCCCCTCCTCCTCCTCCTCCTCCTCCTCCTCTTCATCCTCAACCTCCTCCTCCTCCTCCGCCCTCCTCCTCCTCCTGCTGCTCTGCTTCTTCTTCTTCTTCCTCCTCCTCCTCCTCCTCCTGCTCCTCCTCCCCCACGCCCCGTCTCTGCTAGCGGACCGCTAAGTGCATCCCTCCTGTTCCTGAGGCCACGAGCCCTCGTAAAAGAACGGGTCCACGCTCCCGAGGCCACGATCTGCCGTAACAGACCTGCTTCTCTTTTTTTTCCCAGTGCACTGCTTGAGGAAACGAAGCCTGGCAAGGGACGCTTTGGCAGGCGGCCACCGCCCACTGAAAGGAATTCTGGGGGCTGCGGGCTGGCGTTGGGAGCCAGAAAGGCTAAATAACGGAACGAAGCGGAACTGTGCAAAGCAAACTCGTTACACAACGTGTCTGCTTCTCTTTTTTCCAGTGCCAGTGCACTGCTTGAGGAAACGAAGCCTGGCAAGGGACGCTTTGGCAGGCGGCCACCGCCCGACCTCAAGAGCACCCAATTCCCACCTACAAGCATTGTGCTGGGTCACCCGTGCAAAAGCATCCACCCGCGAGAAACAATCTTGGCCTGAATCGTCTGAGAGAGCATATGGGCGAGGCGGCGACACATTGCATCAGGATAGGAAGCCTTTTGACACGTGCGAAATGGCAACGGCTCCCTCATCTTCGCTGGACAACTCAAGATGAGGTTGCCCTGAAAAGTCGCAAACCCCTCCCCCATGGCATTTCATTGACAGGAACGAAGGACAGGGGCGACAGTGCAAGAACTGAAACTTCGTGCGCGCGCGGTAGGGGCGACCCGCAGCGCAATGATCGACGATGGCTTCAAAGAAGAAAGAGGAGGAGAGAGGCCCACGCAATCTGTCAGGAAGCTGCCACAGTCAACTACTACACGGATTCTCTTCACCCAGTGGGAGACCACATTTGCTAGCTAGAGTCCAAAGCTTTGCAGCACGTGCGGCAAGAAGATCACCGAGCCCGACCTTGATTGATCTGAAGCGCTCAGATTGGGCAAGCCAAAAACGTGAGCACGATCCCGCAAACGGCGGGGCATACGGGAAGTGGGGCCACCTCTGCGAGCTTGCGTGTCTCGAAAAAAGCGTGCCCATGAACAAAGCTTTGGCCCTGCCGCTTTCAATCCAACCTCTATAAGCACAGCGAACGAGGCAAGCTGGACGAAGTCAAACTCTCGGCCGTGCAACAGGTCCCACTCGATGACAGCGCGCCCGGTTTGACGCAACTGTCTCGCCAAATTGCCAGGCCCACTAAATAGTTCTCTGAACGCGCGTGAGTCGTGACCTGTGCTACTATTTACCGCTGTCTCGAGAACTGAAAGAAGGCGGCGTCGAGCCCAGCTGCTAAACTCTTGATGGCCTGGCGTTGGGCAGCCGTGATCCTCATTCACTTGATCGCCACTCGCACGAGCTTGCCGTAGCGCAGCGCGCTGTTGCAGGCGCGCCACCTTCCTCACTGCTGCGCCTCCATCAGCGCGCGGCTGCCCATCCGGCGGTCGCGGCTGGCGCCGCTGTGCTGGAGGCTGTGTAGCATGCCTGCTGAACAGCCGGCTCCGACAGCCTCGGGTGCGCGGCAAAAACGCTGCAGCAGGTGGCTGCAATCGAAGTCGCACCGCAGGCGCCAGGAGCCTGGGCGCAGGCTGCGAAGGCGCGCCAAGGCCCAGGCCAGGGCCTGCTGCCGAGGGCGGTCGAGCACCACCGCGTGGTCCATCTCGCCTGTCTGGGCCGGCTGCCGCAACTCTGCCACGCGCGCCGCCACCGACATGTGCGAGCCCGCGCTGCCGCGCGCCCCGCAGGGCCCCGCAAGCGGGGCTGCCCGCGGCGCCAGCGCCACGAGAGGCCGGAGGTGCCCTTCGAACATCAGCATGGCGCAGAGGGCGATCACGAGCACCGCGTCCCACGTCGTGACGGGCCAGACGAGCAGCACCTCTAGCGTGGGCCAGCCTGCCAGCAGCCGCAACACCTTCAGGTGGAGCACCTGAGTGGACGGCCGCGCACTGTTGGCAGCCGGAAAGCCCTGGCGGTGCAGCAAGCGGACCCGCTCCTGGTCGGAAGGCTGCTGTGGCGGCGCTCTGTTCACGACGGATCCGCCACCACCTGCGGCAGGCCTCATGGTCGGCGAAGCGCCTCCCAGCTCCAGCAGGTCCCGAAGCCCGAGCAGCGGAGCGGCCTGCAACATGTGGATCTCCAGCATCGCGACTACCGCGGTGACGCCTGCACTCCTCCGACTGCTTGGGCCAAGACGGCTCCGGAGCAGTCTGAGAGCGTCTTGGGGGACCATCTGCAGGGTTGAGCTCTGATGGGGATCCACCTGAATGTGACCTTCAGGTTGCAAGCGACCGAGATGGTAAACGAACAGCGACATCCTGACAAGAGCCCGAAGTCTGAGGCGCGACCTTTTTTCCTAAACACATATCATCGACATGTTGTCTCCAAGGTTCCGAGGCCGAGCAACCGATGCTCGTGGCATCGAGAGTGGCGAGAGGTGCGCCGCAACCAGAGCATCCCTTCCGAACTCTCCAGCCGGTGGATTGTACTTTGGCGCCTCCACCTGCACGCGACAGCCGTGACCCAGGTGGCGTCGCGCAGCAGCTCGGCGCCCACCTCGGCGAAGCCCGCCGCACGGCCCAGCAAGAGCGCAGCAGGGTCCGACAGCTCGATGGCGTCAGCAGCAAGGGCTGCACCCCGCGGGGCCACAAGGAGTCGCCACAAGGAGTCGCCACAGGGCTGCCTGCCCGTGGCCTGCGCCGCGCTTATAGGCCATCGCGAGGCGCAGACGCTCGCGCCCCACGGGGAGGCGTCGAAGGCCCCCGCTTCCGTGTGCCAAGGCCTCTTCATGTCAGCAAACACTGTGGGCAGCAAGGCCGACGCCCACCTGAGCTCCTGCTGACAGCTGGGCGACAGCGGCTGCGCCTTCTCGTGGGGCTCGCGGATGAGCGCGTAGACAGTGGTGAGGAGGCGAAGAGCCTCTCCCCGACGCAGCAGCAGCGCGACGATGTGCCCCACCAGCCTCTCCATCTGGCGCCCCGTGATGCGTCGCCCTGGCTCCAGTAAGTGCTGAATGCAGCCATGCGCCCTCCAGAACTTATTGGGCGTGGGGAGCCACCTAGCAGTCTTCGGGTCAAGCGTGAACCCGACAAGTACGACGTCCAGGTCCAACGACGCCTTCGCGCCCTCACTGGTCAGCGCTTCGACAATCTCGGCAACCGCTTACATCGCTGTCTCGCGACTGGTGCTGAGGGCCGCAAAGTTGTCTATGCACAAGGCCTTCGCCTCATCCGAATCCCCCGCGAGGCAAGTGCCGGGCTGCTTGTCCACCAGCCAGGCGTTGTCAGGCGAGACCGAGGCCAAGACGGCCAGGTGCGCTGTCTGCACCAAGTGCACGGCCCAGTTCCAACCCATGGGAACCACTCGCACCCGAAAAATGACTCTGGCTCGGTGAGCTGCCGCAGGCCCCAGGGCGGCCCGCAGCCGAGCGGGCAACAGGTGGGTCGCCGCGCTCGGCAGGCAGAAATAGTTCCGGCAGCAAGTACTGGTAGAAGCAGACCTCCACGTCGCCCGCAGCCAAGTGCACCCCCTCGCCAGGCGCGCACCCCAAGCTGCCCAGGGCGTCGCCAGAGGCCATGTGCGTGTACTCGGGCGCCCTGAAGTGACAGTTCGCCCTCCTGGTATCAAAGATGAGCCTCAGCTTGTCGTGTTTGCGCGGCACGAAGAAGATGCCCGCCCCCTCCCTCCGATCCGCTTCATGCTCCAAAACTTCGACGATCCCCGCCTCGAGAAGCTCCAGCAGGAATCGTCCGTGGTCGCGGCCCCTCTGGGCCAGCCTGCTGTCGACATAACAAGTGGCGTCAGCCTCCTCCATGGCAGCAGCAGCATCCTGCTCTGAACGCAGTAACCCTTGCCCTGACTCCAGCGCGGACTGCAGGTGCTCGGGCAGAAGCCGCGAGATGTCGACCTGCCCCGCACCGTCGGTGGGAAGAGAGACCCCCCCCGCGCTGGTAGCCGGCTCTCGCCCCGTTGGCTGGCTCATCAGCGTGGCCAGGTCGAAGCCCCAGAAGCGCCCGAACCCCCTCCTGGCTGGTGCAACTATCAGTCATGGGCGGCGCTGCAGCGTAAAGGCAGCGCCGAACGCTTCGCCAGGCCCAGCCGCCCGCTGCGCCCGGCCGCCCGCCCGCCGCCGCCCTGCTCGTTGAGCGCCGAGACGCCCTCCAGCATCCAGCGCTCATAGCGCCCGCAGCGCGCGGCTTTGCGCCGCTGACCCAGAGAGAGCTCGCCGTCGAGGGCCGAGAACCCCTTTTAAGCACTGGAGCACCTCCGAAAAGAGCGGCATGGGTAGCACGTCTCTTTGAACGAGACCAACATCGCCAGAACCCAGCGAGGCGGCGCCACCATCAGGCACACCTCGCCTCCCCTGCAAACTCGCGCCAGGGCTGGGGGCCCCCCTGGCGCGACGTGGCGGCCCAGGCCCTGCGCCCGCGGCCGCGGCCGCGCGCTCTGGCCCTGGCAGCCGCCACCTGGTCGCCGGAGGCAGCGCTGGGGTCAGCGCCTCTCTCCAGCAGCCTTTCTCCACGGTCCTTCCTGCGCTCCTTACAGCTGGCGCGCTCCTCCTTGAGCTTCTCGGCCGCCCAGCTCTCGGGGGCGGGGCAAACCGGCGCCCGCCCCCGACCCCTGTCCTGGCCGAGGAAGATCGCCCTCTCGTCGAGCCACGGGGCAGCGTCCTGGCCAGCCTAGCCCCGCGGAGGCAAGAAGCGCAACTCTCCTTCCAGAGCTGACACCACGGGCACAGGATCTCCGCCACCACGCGCTCGCCCGCATGGGGCTGGTCGTTGGTCGTGAGCTCCGTGAGGACCTCCGAGATGGCAAGTTGGTGGTCCACTCCATCGTCCGAAGCCGTGAGCCCATGGACCGACCTCCACCTGGAGTGCCTCTGCCGCGACGTATACCCCGGCTCCGAGATCTTCTCCAGCAACCAGGCCGCCGACTTAAACCTCTTGATCTTCCAATCCGGGAGGACCGCCGTGAACCTCTTGGCCACCGCGTCATGGAAGCACCTGGTGCGCGAGCCTCCCGCTGAGTACACGTCTGGGAATGTCTGGAGGCCCCCGCTGTTGCTGGCAAGCGCCGGCGGCCCCGCTTCGGGCGCGTGGGCAACTGCCGCGGCGAGCGAAGCCCCCTTCTCGAACACGATCGCGCCGCGATCCCACAGCGTGGCCAGCGGCCGGCCCTTTGCCGTGAGCAGCGCGGGCGGGATGGGCGTCCCGCGCGCCAGGCCGCCACGCGTCTCCGCCGCCGCCCAAGTCGCGCCTGGCGGGGGGGCAGCTGGCGGCGCGAGGGCCGCCGCGCGCAAGGGCCCGCCAGCCCCGCCATGCCAAGCGGCCCCAGCGGGCGCCAGACACGTCGCCGCCGGCGCTCCCGCTGCCGATGCGGAGGGGCCCGCGGAAGCTGCCGCTGCCACTGCGCCGCCCGCGCCGCCAGGCACTGTCGCCCCCGCCGGGGCAGCCGTGTCGGCCGAGGGCATTGGCTACACCGGCGGGTTTGGGAGGCCCTCCTCAGCGCGGATCTCCGCCACCATCTGCGTGGCCTCGTCGCACCGCTGCTGCAGCTCTCCCGAGAGACAAGCGTTGCTTGCCCGCAGCACCTGGCCTCCCGGCGCGGGGACTGGCATCCCGCCGCGAGGGCCCAGCGGCAGCAATCGCAGTGCCGGCGCCCTGTCGCCATCATGCATGTCCCAGTGCGCGGTGAACCCCCCGAATCTGTGGTCACTAATGTGGGCCAGCATGATCCGCTCATGCCGATCGTCATCGTGCTGATCGTAGTAGGCGCGAACCCTCGACCCCACTTGGCGACTCTGCAGCCAGCGCAGCGTACGTTTCGCCGGGCCGAGCGCTGCCATCGATCTTTGGGGCCGACGGGCGAGCAGCGCGCCGTGCCGCAAACCCTGCGAGCACCGTGCAGCTCACGCCGAACGCCACGCCTCCCAAGAACGTGCTCGGCGCGAGGCTTATCTCTGGGCACAGCAATTGCGGGCAGGCGGGACACGCTGGACACGTCAGTCGCTCTGGTCCGCACCGCTCCAATTGTCGTCCAAGCAGTTCCACGATGTCGCTGCTGACCTGGCAGTCGGCAACACAATGGCAGTTTGGGCAGCGAGCGACAGGAAGGAGTGAGGCCCAAGGAGAAATGGCCTGCAGCCCCCGCAGGGCCAAATCCATTGAGCCAGAAAGACTAAAGAGCGGAGTGAAACGGAACTGTGCAAAGCAAACTCGTTACACAACGTATCATGCGTCTGCGCCCCGATCTCTCAAGACGGCTCAGCCAGGCAACCAAACAACCTATGCGGCCCCAACTGCCTCGAGCACGCCGCAATATGGCCTCGAGGAGGCCCAACATGGCACCAATGCGGCCCAAGATGCCTCCAAGAGAACCAAAAGGTGTTTGACGGATTTTCGCATTCTCACCTGCCCAGGCTTCCGTCAGCTCAGACGGCTCAAGAAGCCTCCAAGATGGCCCCAAGACGGCCCAAGAGGTCCCCAAGAGGGTACCAAAACGGCCCCAGAGGACCTCACAATGGCCAGGCATCCAAGACGGACCAAAAAGGCCTTTGGAGAGATCCAAGACGGCCTTAGAAGGCCCTTCGACTGCCCAAGACGGCCTCACGACGGCCCCCAGACACTGCCCTTACGTCAAGAGGGCCCCACAAAGGCCCAAGAGAGCGCCCCAAGACGGCCCAAGAGGGCCCCACGACGACCCCAGGGCCCCCCCTGAGAGTGGCCCACACGAGGCCAAGACATCCCCAAGACGGCCCACATGAGTCCCATGAGAGGTCCTCAAGAAGTGATGACGAAAGGTGTCACTTGTGACGGCCTTCCTATTGCTCCTCCTACGTCTCCTCATCCTCCTCCTGATTATGATCCTCCTCCTCCTCCTCATCATCACCATCACCATCACCATCACCATCACCATCACCATCACCATCACCATCACCATCATCATCATCATCATCATCATCATCATCATCATCATCATCATCATCATCATCATCATCATCATCATCATCATCATCATCATCCGCATCGTCCCCATGCTCCTCCTCATCCTCATCATCTCGCCACGGCTCTCCCAAATCTAAAAACACGGCATGTCTCACGTGAGGGCCTGCCGTGCCACCATGAACAGTCGCCACGAAGAATGCTGTACTGTCACGGTGGCGGGATTTGCCGAAGGCAGCTGGATACCTCTGCCAACGCACACACCTTGCTCAAAATATCTGTCCAGTCCCACTTCTCCAAAGACTCGCGCAACCTGCTGCAGGGTGGCGTATGCTGATCGTTGTTCAACTCGCTCCAGCTCTCTCTGCTGTAATAGTTTGTGCTGCTCTTCCGTACCTGCTGGCGCACCTTATCCAAAGCCACGATAAAGGGTATCATGCCGGCCATGCCTCCAACAACAATCGCCCTCATCCAATTGGACTGCAGAATGTCCATAGCATGTTTCATGAGCGGCAGCTCCTCCATCGTCTCGTTAAGGGTCTGCGTGTCTACCTCCCAGGTCAGCCACAGAAACATGACTACGAGGGCGATACACGCAAAGGCCAGCATTGCGGAGCCCAGCTTGACAGCGACGCCAGACACGTACAGCGAGGTGTACATTACTGCCACGGCGAAGACGATGGTGAGCAGAAAGCGCTTCACGAACCTGATGAGCGCCTTCGTCCTGTCTTGGGCTACCACGCTTTCGGACGCCGCCGAGATCTCCGCGATGGCGTCGGAGAAGAGCACGCAGACGCCCGCGCCGAGCAGGTTGCAGGCGAAGACCGTGAACGGACCAGCCCACTGGGTGAAGATGACGGCGGATGCCTCCCGGCAGGCGCTGGCGACCAGGCCTCTCGCCATCGCTCGGACGTCCATTCCCTGTGCTTTTTTCGGTTTCGTGCGTGGCTGTTTCGCCAAATGATCAAGGATGCTCCTCGATGGCCCTCACCGAAGGAAGAATGCACACGCCCGAGCGATGCCAAGGCCTTTGGTGCTCGCGTTCACGATGCTGCTGTGCAGCAGCGCCTGGTCGAGGCAGTAGTCCTGCAGCTCTTGCGGCCGCGCCTCCGACGCCAGCTCGCCGGGGGTCAGCGCCCGGTAGACCGAGGCATACCTGCCTGCCAGCCAGCGCTCGGCGCCCGCGCTCCACCAGAGAGCCCGTGGGCCGTCCGACTGCACGTTCCAGACGATCCAGACCACCAGTGCCAGGGCCGCGCATATGTTGTAGCAGATTGCCGCCGCCGAGTAGAAGTGCGGTGGCCCCACTGCAGAGGCCATCCAGCGGGCGCGCAGGAAGGCGAGGAGGCACACCGTGGCAACCATGCACATCAGGAGAGGCGCCCATGGGTATTCCACTGATTTGAGAGTGACGCTACAGAAGATCAACACTACGAGGATCGAGAAACTGAGGAACTGGACGACTGCCTCGCCTCCACGGCCCCACATGTCGCTGTCGAACATGTCGAAAACAAACATCACCATCAACCAGCAAACCAAAATGAACACCATGCAGTTGGCGAGCGCGTTTGAGCGATCGTTCAATATACCGTTGTATATGTCTGGCCCTTGCCCCACGGGCGAGTAAACGAACACCGCGGTGAGGGCAGGAACGAGCACAGCGGAAAACATGGCGCAGTAGCACGGGACAAGGCCGATGTCATTCCTCATCGAGCTCAGCCAAGCAAACAGCTTTTGACAACACGCATGGGCAAGGAGGCTTAGCAACAGCAGAAGGGTCATAAGTAGTAGCGCCAAGACGAGGACGACTACAAAGATCTCGTGAACTAACGTCTGGCTCCACTCCGCAGAAACAACGTAGGCAATCAGCGCCATAGCAATGAACGTGGCAAACAGCGAGGTGCCCTCGACCCAGTTGAGAAATTTGCTCTTGTAGGGCTGCCAGTACAAGTGGGCCGCGAGCGCTGTGCCCGTGATGATCACAGCAAAGGTGACGTGGCTCGCGGAAGCGTAAGTCTCTGGCACCATGGCTGCCAAAGCCACCAAAGCCAGCTTCCGCATCAGGACGATGATCTCCCAAGGCTTGCAGTCTGGCTTGTAAGGAGCAACCATGAAGTCAAGCGAATGATGGGGCAACTTCTCCATGTTTGCAATCAAGTACGCCCAATACGCCGGTCCCATCACAGGCCCAACCACAAACGTGACAACGGCGCAAGTCACAGTCTGCACACTGTAAAATCTCGGACACTTCTCCCGTGTATCCCAGGCGCGGCGCGATTCCTCGTACCATCTTAAATCATTATGCACCCTTTGCGTGTGAAAGCAAGGGTACTGCAGCAGGGCGCTCGCGAACAGACCAGGTAGAAAGACGTTGGTGAAAGCCAGTGAGATGTGCATGATCTTGACGGGCATCTCATGGTGCACCTCCACGTCATGCAAGTCAACGTCCTTAGAGGACTCCCAAGTCGGATCCGAGCAGATCGTTCAAGAGGATCGCGCTGCATCGATGATGCATCGGCGACGACGGAGGTGTATCGGGGCCGTCGGCGTGAAAAAAAAACCTCGGAATCCACATCGAGCCGCAGCGGCGATACGATGGGATCCTCCGACGTCATCTACTCGGGCCCAATATGGGAGGCCTAGAGTCCTGCGACGTGCCTGGCCCACCCGAGACCAACGCCTCCTGGGGCATCCTGGCCTTCTCGTCCACCTTTGCCGATTCTTTCACGTCTTCCTCTGTGTATGTTTCCAACGCTTTATTTGTCCCCTCGCCCGCGCTGTAGCCAGTACCCAAGACCAACGCCTCCTGGGGCATCCTGGCCTTCCCGTCCGCCTTTGCCGGTTCTTTCACGTCTTGCTCTGTGTCCGTTTCCAGCGCTTCATTTGTCCCCTCGCCCGCGCTGTCGCCCATATCGTCCATGGGCTCTGCGTCCGCTTGACTATCCTGGGCACGGCGCGACCCGCCATCGCCCCGAAACAGCGTTGCGCCGATCGCCGCCAAGAGGAGGAGCATCGGGACAAGGCTCTCCAGCAGGGTCCTCGTGATATGTTGTTCCCATCCTACTTGAGGACCGCATCCCAGATTTCGAGCACCCCGAAAAGTGTCAAAACAATGTCGAAACAGTGTCGGGCGAGTGTCCCCCAGGGCCCGACATGTGAAAACCCTGGGGTTTCGGTACATTTTCTGGTGCTCGAAACTGTTTCTGGTGATCAAGGCTAAAGAAGGTTGGAGCATCATAATCCTCATGGCGAAAGAGTTCTTGAAATTCACACCCATACAATCGGCGCTGTCGGTGAGCCCACCGGTCCCAGTCGAGGCGACCAGCAGCGGCACGTCCAACAACTCGAGCGGCAACTGCCCTCGGGGGCTTTTGTTGATAAGCCTGATAAACTTGCCGTACGCCCGCGTGTCTTGCATCAAAGTGGACGCTGTTATGGCCGAGAAAGAAAACGACATGAAGATGTTGAGAAGTCTTCCCAGCTTGTCCTGCCTGCCTGCGCTGATCGAATGTAGGCTCGCGGCGAACACGGCTCCCGAAGCCGCTATCTCCTTGCCCCAGACGAACGCAGGACTTGTGCACTCGGCGCACTTGAATGGGTCCATGCGGCTGCGCCCGAACCCTGGCAGACACTGGGCACACCCGGGAACGGTATGATTGTAGCCCTCAGCGCACATCGCCTGGTTTAGGGTGGAGTTGCGGTGCAGGGACGCCCAATCCCAACAAGGGTCTGTGCCGCTCTTGCCACACGCCTTCCGGTTTGGACAGCGATGTGCTTTTATCCCATCCCTGGTTGCGTTCTCGGCAAGCAACATGACGCTGCGAGGCACGCACACCAGGTCGTCATCGTTGACAGTCACTTGGCTACCAACCTCCTTCGTGAGACGCTCCTGCATCTGCCTAAGGAGGTCACGCCGCCTTCCGATGCCTGTCTGTACGTTCTTAAAAGCATCGTGGAGTTCTTGTTTGGTCTTCTCATCAGACTCATCCTTCAGTCGCATCTCCAAGGCATCGATTAAATTGGCTCTTAACGGCGCAAGATGCGTAGCAACAAGAGGGGCTGTAATGTTGAGACTCGAGGCGAACACGTGCCGGACTGTCAAATTTTGATCGGGAAGGTGTTTTATTACGCCGCTCACTACTGCATGCAACGTCTCGGGGGGGAGCTGATCGAGGCGCTTCTCGTTCTTGCGGAGGCACGTGCCGATGGCTTCAGCGCACGCGCTTCGAGTCCTGTTGCAGTCGAGGCGGAGGAGGGGGACCTGAAGGGCGTCATTTAGCTGCTTGATGGACATGTCCTCTGTGCACTCGGCTTTGCCGTCGCCACCGCCTCCGACGACGGCGGCTTCGTCGGCGCACGCGGCAGCGGCCCTCTCCGCGCCGGCGGCTGCGGTGGAGGCGTCCGTGGCGACGCCTGTGGTGGTGGTCTCTGCTCTGGTGGCTGCGTCGGCGGCGGTGGCGTCTTGACCTTCTTGGTGGCGCCAATGAGGGGGGTGCGGGGGGGCGCGACGGGGGTCGGCCTTCCCTTCCCCTCAATTCTTCCAGACCTTCCGTCTTAACCTGCCGCCCCTTTTTCGATATGATCTGCGTGGGTGTCCTTGAGTTGCGTAAGGATCCTGCGAATGTCGATGCATTCTTCCGCACCTTCCGCGGAGGTTGGAAGGTTGGAAGGTATGGAAGGTGGAGGTCGAGGGTTCTAAGACGGCGGCAGGGCGTCTAAGAAGGCAGGGGCCTTGTCAAAAGGCCGCCGGTGGCTTCTGACAAGGCTTCTTTGACGCCTCCCTGGCCTTCTATGAAGCCCCCCCGCGCCCCCCCCCGTGTGGGCTCAACTACGCGCAAGAGTGCTCCTACGCAAGAGTGGCCTTTGGTGCGCGGTTTTGGGTGGGACGCCGCGGGGGAGAATCCAAGCGCGCAAGCCGCTGACATCGCATTGCGCTCAACGATCGAGGTGCCCGCGAGAGCCCGCACCGAACGTCACTCCGGCAAAGGGTGAAACATTCACTTTGGGCGCCGCCAACCTTCCAGGCCGGCGGCGATGGCGGTGCCGGCCCTCCCGTCCGCCCTGGCGGCGGCGGCCGCCGCGGTGGTGGTGACGGTGTCCGCGGGGGTGTCTTTCTGGGCCCGCGCCTGCGCGTGCGGATCCGGAGAGGCATGGAGCGCCAAGGACTCCTCGTGCAGCTGGGGCCTGTTGGGTCCGACGACAGTTGGGGGGGTGGCCAAAGGGTGGCTCGCGCATCGGCTCGCGCAGCTGATCTCTCTGGCGCCTCCTGCCGGCGGAGGCGCCAATGTGTCGAGGAAGGCGGCCGATGGCGGGGCCGAAACCAGCTGCGCGCAGCAAATATCGTACCCCCTCTGTCCCTATCTCCCGTGTCGTCTGACCCGAGCCTTGCTCCCAGCACACCAAGTGACAGGTCGGCGACGACGGCCGCTGCCAGCAGCGCAGGCTGCAAGCCCCACATGACTGCGCTTGTACACCGTATTTGACTGCGCGACTCTAGCGGTTGGGCGATCTGGACTTGGCCAGAATGACCTTGGACAGCATGGCTGGGGAGGGAAGCGAGGAGAGCGAAAGGAGGATGAGGAAGAGGAGGAACAGGAGGAGGCGGAGAATCATGAGGAAGTCCCTCGCGAGAGCGCGATTTGGGAATCAACTGTGAGGAAAATTCAGGCGGGAGCCGTTGTTGTTGTAAACCGGGGGCCAGGGGCACAGTTTGAGCAGGAAGACTTTCTGGGAATCAGCTGTGAGGAAAATTCAGGCGGGAGCCGTTGTTGTTGTAAACCGGGGGCCAGGGGCACAATTTGAGCAGGAAGACTTTCACAGTCAATTATCCCGGCAAAGCAACCTAACAGCGGTGTGTATAAGCATATCTGGAAGCATTCCCCTTAAGATTCAGGTGAGAATCCAGTTGTAGAATTCTGCTGTTCTCGCAGTCGCAGTCGCATTCGCAATGACAGTCGCAGTGGCAACGGCCTCAGGATCCAATGGAATCCTAAGGATTCCTGAGGATGCTTAACTATGCCTACGGATTCCTAAGGATGCCTACAGAATCCTGAGGATTCCTAGGGATTCCTAAGGATTCCTATGGATTCCTACGGATGCCTCAACCTGCCTCAGTTTCAGCCTCAGCCTCAGCCTGCCTCGGCTTGCCTCAGCCTCAGCCTCAGCCTGCCTCGGCCTCAGCCTCAGCCTGCCTCAGCCTCAGCCTCAGCCTGCCTCGGCCTCAGCCTGCGTCAGCCTCAGCCTCAGCCTGCCTCAGCCTCAGCTTGCCTCAGCGTCAGCCTCAGCCTCAGCCTCAGCCTGCCTCGGCTTGCCTCAGCCTCAGCCTCCGCCTGCCTCGGCCTCAGCCTGCCTCGGCCTCAGCCTGCCTCAGCTCGGGCATTCAAAATATGGCACAGGACTTATGTTCTGGGAACACGAAGATCGCGAAGTGGCCCGCAGTTGGCTCCGGGCAATCAAAATATAGTGCAGGAGTGGCGTTCTGGGGAAACGAACAACACGAAGCGGCCTACAGTTGGCTCCAGGCATTCAAAATTAGCCTGGGAATGGTGTTCTGGGAGCACGAAGATCACGAAGTGGTCTACGTTTGGCTCCGGGCATTCAAAATGTGGCCTGGGACTGGTGTTCTGGGAATACAAAAAAAAAGCGAAGTGGCCTACAGTTGGCTCCGGGCAAAATGTGGCCTGGGAATGGTGTTCTGGGAGCACGAAGAACACGAAGTGGCCTACAGTTGGCTCCGGGCATTCAAAATGTGGCCTGGGAGTGGTGTTCTGTTGGCTCCGGGCAGTCAAAATGTAGCTCCTGGCGCTGACAGTGGGGAGTCCCCGGTTTTCCCCGGCATCCCCCGGATCCTGCCCAGACCCCCCTGGGGAATCAGGATGCTCTCTTTTGGCCCGACAAGAAAGCTATTAGTCTTCGCTGTTAGGTAAAAACACAGCGAGCCCCAGGAGGGGCATTTCACGTGAAAAACACATCTGTTTCGCGAGTGCGTTAATCCTAGATGATTTGCCAGGAAGTCCAAGCGAAAGCGGGATTCCTGAATTGCGAGCACGTGGCGCCTGAATAAATTACGAGGAAGTCCCACGCGAGAGCGCGATTCCTGTATGAATTGTAAGGACGTCCAGCGCTAGAGCGCGATGTGGACATGAATTGTGAATGAATTGCTGCAATTCGAATCCCAACAACAAACTTTGAGGAATACTATCGTTGATACAAAAACAGGGTGCAAGCCCAAGGAGGGGCACTTCAGTTGAAAAACACATGTGTTGCCGGAGGGCGGGGATCAACAATTGTTGTTATTCAATAGTGAGAGCTCAACTACAACAGCCACATCAACAGCAACGTCGTCGACAACAACAACAACAATTACTAGCACGTGGGGACACTCCGTTCTCACCAGTGCCAGGGTTTTCATTGGAGGCGGGCAAAAACCCCACTTTGTGGGGGGGCCGGTTCAAGCTCTACCAAATTTCCAAACGACTCTTCGCCGCCACCCACACCCAGCTTCCCGCCCTATGACGTTCGGACACTTCACTTCGTGGCATGCGGACGACCGTGGCTACTATTCAGGGCCCCGCGGCCGACGACGACGGCGTGCGCGCGCGAAGAAAAAACGAATGTGTCCCGCATGGTATTATTTGACAGGGATGATGGCCCTGGCAGGTGCGCAACCGTTGTTGCAGAAGTTCGAAAAAGTTGCTCGCAAAAGCCCGTTTGACAGAAATGTTTAAAAAGTGTTGGGTTTCCTACGAATCCGCAAGAGCGCGCGGGATGAAATTTTGACATTTTTTTGTTTTGAAAAACCATTGGTTTTTTGATGTTTTTATGTTAAAATCGCTACGAAAACTAAGGTTTTGGAAGGATTTCGTCTTGCGCGCGCGAGTGTCCACTTTACCTTATTTTTTGCAAGGGATTCTTGAAGTTTGGTTATGTTAGAACAAGAAATGTCCACTTTAGATTGTTTTTTTGCAAGGGAAAGCGGGCGTCAACAAAACAACCGGATCCGGACTCCCCCGTTTTGCCTGAGACTTCCTCGCGAAAATGATGAAAATGTGGCTGCGGCCTAGGCGCGGCGAGGGGGGCGTGCACCAGGGGGCCCAACAATAATTATTCTTTAGAAGTGATAATATTCAACAACAACAACAACAACGACAACAACAACAACAACAACAACAACAACAACAACAACAACATCAACAATCATATTACGACTGTTCGCTTCTCTCTGCTCGCGTGCCGCTCAACACATCTATCCCGAACCCTCGGTGCCCGCTCTCTTCGCCTTCGATCACACCCTCCTTTGAGGTATATCTTCTTTGCTTGCCACGCGCACGTATTGCTGCCCTGAAAACAGGGGAAGAGAGGAGGGGGAGGGAAAAGGATGGAGCACGAGAAAGAAACAGTAGCAGGAGAGGGGGCTAAAAACACGTGGCACAACCAAAAGGGCAGATTGGACAGGCTGACCTCAACGGGCGGGTCGGGAAGGCGGGCACTGGCGGCCAGGTCGAACAGGCGGGTTGCTGAAGCGTGGGTCCTGCATGCGCCGCGGGAGGGGGTTCGAGCGATAGCGCGATTCCCAAGTAAACAGTTAGAGCAGCTGAAACAACAGCGTGATTCCTGAATGTCGACGGCGCGGTGCCTGAACAAATTGTGAGGAGCTCCCACGCGAGAGCGCGATTCCTGCATCAATTGCGAAGACGTCCCGCACGAGAGCGCGATTCGCGAATCCACTGTAAAGAAATATCAAGCGGGAGCCGTTGTTGTTGTAACCCGGGGGCCAACAATCCAGTTTGGTGACACCTCGCACTCCTGTTGAACAGAAAATAAAACCACGGGATAAACACTTAAATGAAACATTGGACGGTAACCGGGCGGGGGGGGGAAACCATAATTATCATTGGAAATGCGAATTTCAACAACAACAATAACCAGAGCGACGAGTAACAGCAACGACAAGAACCACAACATCAGCAATACCAACAAAGATAATGGTTATACTGGTCGCCACTATTTTGGGCGCCCGAGTTATCCGGGATAACTCGGGTCCGGGGTAACTCGGGTTTGGATTCCCGAAAAAGGAACCCGAGTTATCCCTGACCCGAGTTACCCCTGATGATTCGGGGCTCTTGGACGCCCGATTTATCCGGGGTAACTCGGGTCCGGGGTAACTCGGGTTTGGATTCCCGAGAAAGGAACCCGAGTTATCCCTGACCCGAGTTACCCCTGATGATTCGGGGCTCTGACTATTTGTTCGCAGGCCACTCAACACGTATATCCCAAATTCTAAATACCAACCCTGTTCGTGTTCGATCGAACCCCGCGGAGATACACACATATATATATACATACATACGCAAATTTCCTGCAACGGGTATTTCGTGCAACCCTGACGGCAAGGAAAGAAAGGGCGTATGGAAGGAACAAACAAACGGGGCGGAGGAGGATATAGCACGAGAGAAAGTAGCAGGAGGGGGATAAGAGCTGAAAACACGTGGGTGGTAGAACTGGGCGGGGAAACTGGACGGGCAGACTCTAACGGGCGGTCGGAGACGCAGGCCCAGGCGGCTAGGTCGAGTAGGCGGGTTGCTGAAGCGTGCGTCGTGCATGAAGCGCGAAGAAGGCTGGAGCGATCGCGCGATTCCCAAAATAAATCGCCGGGAAAGCCATAGCGAAAGCGCGATTCGTGAGCGTCGAGGGCGCCGCGTCTGAATAAATGGCGACGGCGCCCCACGCGAGAGCGCGACTCGTGCGCGAATTGCGAGGGCGCCCTGCGCGAGAGCGCGACTTGGGAATAATTCGCGGGGAAGTATTAAGGGGGCCTGTTGTAATTGAACGTAGATTATGCTAGAAAAAAACATCGCTGGACACCCTGAGTGCGCTTTCGCGCTTTCGCCTGGGCGGCGGCTGCAATTCCTCTGGGAACTAAACTCACGCTCGGGGCTCCGCCAAGACCGGCCCCCCAACAACCACCGCGCTCTGGCTCGACACTTCGCCCTTTCTCACTCGAGGCCCGGGCTCTCGCTCGCCCCCCCAGAACCGCATTCCCAAAAGAATCGGCGCCCCCGCTTGACGCGTCCTTGCATTTCACCTCAGGACCGGCGTTCCTGCCTCGAGGCCCCCTACAAGCAACGACGCTCCTGCTCGATATTTCCTCCGCTTTTACTGAAGACCCCCAGGAGGCCCTGAGGCTTCCCTAGTCCCTGCTGACCTTGAACTCATAAACGGTTGTTGCTGATGGACACCCTGAACGCGATTTTGCGTTCTCGTGCCTGCCCCGCGCGCCCTCGATCTCGCTCGCCCTGGGCGTGGCGTCGTCGCCGTCGCCGCCGCTGCTGTCGTCGTCGTGGTCGTCTCGCTCTGGAGGCCGCCGGGGGCCTCCTGGAGCTCCTGGAGCCACAGGGGGCCAGGGGCAGGAGGAGGCGCGCAGGGAGGAGGAGGAAAATGAGGAGGAGGATGAGGAGGACGACGACGACGACGACGAATCCCGGCCATCAGAAAGCGGCCAGCAAAAAGCGGCCCCCGGGGAAGGGGTCCAAAGCCGAAGGGCCTAAGTTTTGAAGCGTCTCTCAGAGGCTCTGGGGGCTCTCCGCGGGGCTCTCCCAGAGGTTGTGAAGCTTCTCCCAGAGGTCTTAAGCCACTCAGGCGTCGTGATACCTAAACACAAGGCCTGGGCATTGGGATTGCGAAGGCGATGTGCCATGCAGGCTGGAATGTTGAAACGCCTCGGAAGAGGTGATGTCAAGACCTCCTCGGGCGTAGGATCAGGGAGACGGACTATCGGACACTCGTGCGCATGACATGGATATCCATGGGGGGAACTACCATGATGGATGCATGCTGCATGCATATGCATAAGGATATTGCTGTTGTTATTGTTGCCGGGGTTGTGCTTGTTGTTGTTGTTGTTGGTGGTGTTCTTGTTGTTGGTGAATTCGCATGTCTAAACAAAAAAGAATAATTTATTCCCCCGTGCCAGGTAACCATTGCATGTGTCAACTGAAGTGCTTCTCTGGAGGCTCGCACCCTGTTGTTTACAAAGGGAAGGCGAGGCGTCACCAAACTGCGCCCCAGGCCATTTGCTTACAACGACAGCGGCTCCCGCCCGATACTTCCTCACAATTAATTCCCGACTCGCGCTCTCGCGCGGGACGCCCTCACAATGTATTCAGGAATCGCGCTCTCGCGTGGGATTTCCTCGCCAATTATTCAAACGCCGCGACTTTGACGCCCAAGAACCACGCTTTCGCTAAGGATTTCCTTGCGATTTCTAACACGATGGATGCATCCGAAATGATTGTTCTGTTATTGTAAACCGGGGGCCGACAAACCGATTTGGTGGCACCTCGATTTCCTTAGAAAAAATGCGAACCCCAGGAGAGGCACTTGAATTCAAAAAATAGAACGGTCACCGACCAAGGGGGATCCACAATGCTTCTGTGTTTGGAATGAGAACTTGAAGACAGTTCGCTCTTATCTGCAGACGGGCCATTGAACACGTGCGTCTCAAGCCACAAGCCCTCGACATCCGCCCTCCTAATCTTGAATCGTACCCCCTTGCTGAGGGGCAACGATGCATCCCCCCCGATCGTTGCCTCTGATTTGCACCCCCCCTATCGTTGCCTAATCCCCCCCTATCCCCCCCTATCGTTGCCTGAGGAGTCGATGCGCCCCCCCCACGCCTATGCCTATCCCCCCTATCGCTGCCCCTGACTTGCACCGTGGCCGCAATCGTGCCGGGCGCCGGCCAACCGGCACCGACTCACATGCCGTGCCAGCCGGCCGTGGCAACCGCGCCGAGCGATACCGCGCCGGCCTCCGCTACCGCATGCCGGACGATACCGTGCCGCCACCGTGCCGGACGATGCCGTAGACTGCCCTGAGGGTATCCGGACCTAAAATATAGGCCCCCCGCCCCATTCTTCCGCCCGCCTGTTCACCCGGACCTAAAACCTTGAACATCATAGGCCCCGGGCCTATAATTTCAAGTTAACATACTCTATGGCATTTTGGGCACGGGCCTAAACCATAGGCCCCCCCGGGCCTAACATGCATTTTTGATTTTAAGCCCCCCGGCCTAAAATCACTTTTGCGTTTTAGGCCCCCCGGCCTAAAATCACTTTGCGTTTTAGGCCCCCCGGCCTATAATCACTTTTGCGTTTTATGCCCGCCCATGATTGCAATGATTGCATCCACGTTTCGTCACCCCGCGGCGGAATGGCCCTCTCGCCTCGGCGCTTGCCACATACTCACCTCCTCCTTCCACCTCCTCCCACGCCTTCCCCTCCCTCTCCTCCCCATCCTCCTTATAGGCTCAAGAATGCCCAAAGCGTCCCAGAACAGAGACGTGAGCGCCATATCTGCAGCAATATTATCATGTGACGCTGCACGTCGTCCGCCGATCGTCAAGGATCGATGGGGTAATGTCATCCCGCCCGCCCATCCCTCCCTCCACCCTCCCTGTGATCCCTGTGACTGCCTCCCTCCCTCCCTGTGACCCTCCCTCCCTGTGATCCTGTGATCCTGTCATTCCTGTGACCCTCCTTCCTGTGATCCCTGTGAACAGATGGATGGGATCACAGGGCCCTATGATCCCATCCATCCGTTCCCCTCGCCCGCCCCCGCCCCCTCAGAAGTTCGACAAGTCGAACGAGCTGGAGTTGCAGAGAGCGTGCCAGGCCAGCGCGCCCATCTTCAGGGCGCTGAAGCAGGTTTGGCGGCGCGCCCAAGGGGGAGTGCAGATGGGGCAAGTCTTCTGAGAAGGGCTTCGCCTGAGCCCTGAGGGGTTTCAGAAGGCGGAAGTGCGAACCCCTCCATCCTCTTAGGCCTGCCCCATCTGCACTTCCCCTTGGGCGCGCCGACAGGTGGACCGTAGGCTTTACTTCAACCCAGACGCCATGGCAGCGGCGCTCAAGAGGGTCGCGACAGAGATGGACTACAAGGCCATCTTATAAAGACCCCTCTGCACATCCCCTCTCGCCCCCCTCTCCCTTTCAGGGGAGAGGGGGTGGAGACGGATACAGTGGGGGCCCGACCATTAAACCCTCCACAAGAAACCCAACCCTGAGACCCCAGGACGCCCATGAATTTTTGGTGTGGGAACGTCACGCTCTCCATCGCAAAACCATCGAAACCCAAGACACCCAGGGCAACCTGGAGGAAAGCAGGGTGCTTCTTGGCATGGGCCTCCACAGCACGACGACGATTGACGGTGCCTCCCTCTAGTTGAACGCCCGTCGCCAACGGGACTTCGAGCAGCAGGTGTCTGGAAGGATCATCCACTTGTGCCAGGTTGCCCGCTTGGGGGGGCAAGTCCGCGGAGGGCAGGGATAGAGGGGGAGAGTGATGAGAGAGATGGATGGGGGATGGACCCTGCAAGGAGGGCCGTGCTGGGAGAAGGAGTCAGATTTTCGGTTAGCTTGACCCAAGACGTCTATAGCACGGATTGCCTTCTGTCTGCTACTCTATCTGCTGCTAACACATGCCTGGAATCTACCTGGATTCTGACTCTGGTCCTCCTGGCTTGTAAGAAGGATCACCTTAATTAACACACACAGCCTAAGAAAACAAACATCATAACTAGCTACCGTTCCTCGGACCCTAGTCGAGCAAAGCAATCATTCTGCCCTAAGGGTACTCAAAGAAATCGAAGGAAAACTTATCGACGTTGGAATAGTCGATGAGAGACAGCTTCATGTTTGAAATATAACCATATCTGGTAACATTGCCCATCAAACCATGAGCCGTAAGAGTAAATATCATAGTCTGTTCTGTCCTGTCTGGGTCGTCTAACTTCAGAAAGATGCGGAGTACGTAATCTGTTCTCTGTGATTCAGTCCATGTCCTGCAGTCTGGTCGCCATGCATACTGATGGTGATTCTGCCCAAGAAGGTTTCATGCTGATCAGGTCGCTCTCGGTCACCGTCACTGCTGGAGCATCGATGGTTGCCACTAGGCACTCGATGCCCTTGGTCTCCACACGCCAGTAGCCGTAGGTCAACAGATCGTAGAGGATCTCCGATATCATACTCTTTGTCAGTCCATCTGCAGCCATGGCCGAGGTAGGACACCAAAAGAAACGCCTGATATAACCACGAAGCCGATCTTCTCGTACTGATAGCACGTATAGTCGTTGATGTCGATCTTGAGGTACGCCCTTGGGGCCGACGCTGAGCTCGAAGAAATCTCTGCAATCTGTCCAGTGGTCGATAGGTATCATGAACTCAGCGTGATCCTGGATCTGAATCAGCTGCGCCATCGTGCTGCCTTCATGTAGAGGAAGTTGGATGCCCGGAGCAAATAACTCCGTCAGTCGCATAGCAATCATCTGTGCCAACTCTTTGCCAACTACACCTGCCAACGTCTCAGCCCGTGACGTGCTGCCTGAAACTCTCTTGGCCTTATGAGATAGCGAAGCTATGATGCGGCAGAACTTGCTGAGCTGCTGCTTGGAGCCGCACACCTGCTGGTAGTGAATCGACGTCGTCGGCACAACCTGCACGCGCTTGTCCGAGCCCAACAAGATAAGTACTGCCTCTTGGGCGTAGGAGCTTCCTGAGGTAGCTCCACTCGAATCTGCCACCGTGTCTATCACGAATGGTGGAGAGATCTTCGGAAAGTAGAGCCCCACGTTTGACGAGTACTTCTTCACACGAGCTAATAGAGCGTTGGCCATCTTGATGTGCTTGATCGTTGCTGATGCCGTATTCTGCTGGATAATGACCGTATCTGCAATCGCGTCCAGTCGTGTCTGACATAACCACAGCAACCCGCCCAGGAGTCCGCGAAATGCCTTGAGCTCCGTGGAAGTAAGTGGAGAGTCGTCCTGAGCTGCTCGAAGCTTGCCGAGAGGGACTGGCTGGAGGATCTGACAGAACTCGTCCTGAGACATTCGAATGCCGAAGTCGGTCTGCTCATGTCTGACTCCCACGTGGTTCATAGGTGGTTGCTGTCTAGTAGCTCCTCCGAATCTATCCGAGAACTTGCTGTAGGACTTGTTGAGCCACTCGTTGCTGCTCGCGTTGTTGTTGTCGTCAACATAGGAGGTCGCAATTGCCTTGAGTTCTCCTGGGGGTTCCATCCAGAAGTAAAAACAGTCGTCGAAAGCCGAGGGTCTGTCGCCAAGCGTCTCTATCATGAAGATCTGCATGACCACCTGGAATGCCAGCGGTGCGTCGTTCAGACCATACATTGCCTTGAGACACTCCAGAGCCCACATGTTCCAACTGCCTTGCTGTGAGGGAACGTGATACGTCTTGGGGTCGGTGTTCCTGAGATGTCGCCAGACGTTGGCTGGTGGAATGATGCACACCTGCCGCTCTGGAGTCTTGATGCCGCGCTTGCGCAAGACCTCGTACATGTCCTTGAAAGGTAGTCCCTTCAGGAAGGCGCCCGTGACGTCCCAGCTCTCGATGGTGAAATCATATATCGCTGCCAATGAGACCAGAAGCCGCTGTGACAACCGAGTCGCCGTCGTAGCTCGCTTCGAAAGTGATGCACCTTGACCGTCAAGAAAGCCTCTTGCGCACAGCCTGCTCTTGACGATCCACTTCATCTCGTTGCCAACCTTGATCTGCTTCCACTTGCGGACCCAGACGCAATCAACTGGATCCTGCTTGCACTTGCTCATGGGTATCGGTTTCCACACAGTCGCCTCGACGAACTGCTTGATCTCCTTGAGGTCTGCTGCTTCGACCAGGTCAAAGTGTTCCACCACGTCGCTAGGCTTCAGGATGAGCGAGTCCGAAGCCGATGCGAAACACTCGCCAGTGAGGATGTCGAGATAAAAGCAATGATCCTCGAGGAAAGGTCCATCAAAGGATATGTAAGCTTGGCTGCGTGTCCAGCTGCTTGGTAGTTCGTCGCCATCAGTGAGATTGAAACCCTCGACGTCTGAGTAGAATTGTTCAGCTATGAGTGCCTGCTGCTCCGTCATAGACTTGTGGTACTCGCCCCCGCAGTCCTTGAGCTCGGGAACCAAGTCGATGCGCTTGGTGAAGTACTGCTGGTGCTCAATCAACTCCTGCCAAGCTGAGCAGTAAAATACTTCAGACGATCCAGAGTAAAGGTCCTCAGGCTTGATGCCATGGGCAGACCGAGACCTATCATCATGTTCAGGGTTGTAGTCGATGGTCTTGTCTTCGTCGTCGTCCCGAGGCTGCTGCTGAGGGTACTCGATCGTCGCGTCCGGTAAGCTCTGCTGCAATGGAAGGTGAACCGATCTGGACCGCTCGTCGTCGTGCTGAGGATACTCCAGAGTCGGCTCTGCAGCTTCAGCTGCTTGATCAGGGTGAGATGGATACTCAATTGCAGGTTGATCAACTGCTTCTTGTACTTGCTCTGGTGGAGCTGGATATTCAATAGTAGGTTGTTCCGCTGCATCCTGTGCTTGATTCGTGTCCGTGTCGAGCCTGCGAGACCTGCTCCGATCATGGTCATCGACTGGGTCGGTGCCTTCACCTTGAGCTGCTTCGGCGATAGGCAACACAGGACCCTGCTCGCCCGACGATGCTGCCGCCTGTGATCCGCTCGATGGTGCTGAAGATGAGCTCATACCTGGGTTGTCGAACTTGACGCGCTGATCTCTTCGTTCACGCATGCCGCGTTTCAGGATGGATGTCTGTGTCCGAGATCTGTCGTCGTCACGTTCACGAGCTTCTGCCTCTGATGTCACAGGGTCTGATATAGACGCGTCCAAGCCCACTGGTGAGCCAGGAAGCGCCACTTGTCGCCAGTCTGGTGATGCTGGAGCATGAGGTGCTGGAAATATCGGTGTCGTTGGAATCTGCTGCGGTGGTGCAGCTGCCTTTGGTGAAGTCGGGGTTCGACTTGGTGCTGGTCGTCGCGGAACAAACTCTTCATCAGATATGCTGATATCGTGATCTGCCACCACAGCTCGCTATTGTCCACCGTCTGGCACAGGTCGACCTGGACGATCGTCTGGAGGTCGAGGAGGCGCAGGTGGCGCCAAGATAGAGGTACCAGACCTTGACACTGTCTCAAGCGTGCTATCCATGTGCTGCGACTGGTCATTCGGTGAGAAAGCCGAACGTGGTAGCACTGGCTGTCGAGGTATCTGTGGTGGTCGTCCTGGAGGCTGTGGTGGTTGAGGAGGCTGTGGTGGTTCACCTACTTCCATGACCGTGTCGTCGTAGCCTGGAGGCTTCCACCACTCCGTCGGAGTCGGTGATGGCAAAAACTGCGTAGGAGGTGTCCAGGGCGCGTCGTCTATCCGCTCAATGCTCGAGATGTCCGAAAGATCTGGTACTGCGTCCTGAACAACCGTGTCCTCGTACTGCTCTGAGACATAGATGATGAACGAGTAGTTGCTCGGCGTGTCTGGCAAGATAGTCGCCAGCCGCAGAGTATGTCCCAGGTCCACTTGTCGTACTTGGTAGCTGAGTCGATCTCGTCGAACCCATGCTAGGATAACTCCTCGATTGATGCCGTGATAGGTGTTGATGTTGTGCAGTTGCGTGCCGAACCTGATGGCCCTTGGAGCCGCCAGCTGTAGCAGAACCTCGCCTACTTGAGCTGCCAGACGAAAGACCTCGGGAGTGTTGATCTCGAAGTCGTTCGGCACAACAATATGCATACCGTTGGCGTCGTGAACCATTCCAACCGTGATCGCGGTGCCTGGTGCCTGGCCGTCAACGATGTCAAGTAAGCTGTGCAATGTCGTGTACATATCGTCATGCATGTTGTCCTGCCATCTGCCTTCTCCGTCCATCAGCATGTGAGTCGGTGGGCACGCCACTGTGACCGCATACGATCGTGCCTGATGTGGTCGCACATGCCTGAGCGGAACGATGTATGGCATGGACTGGTGTTTGACGATCGCCACGTTCTCCTTCAGGTTGATGTCCAGTAGGTCGCACGGTCCTCTCCACCCGGGCGCGTCCTTGCGATCAGGAACTCGGTGCAGATCGACGAGGTCTTGCAAGGGTCGTAGCTTGGCCACGTCTGAAAGGATCTGCACCTTGGTGTTGTTAGCCCCTGCGATGCGCTGCTCGATGACTGCCTTCTGAACTGCCGCCTTGGCCATCATCCTGAGCCCGAGGTAGGACTCGAAGGTGTCTGGCGTCGTGTCGCGCGCGCCGTCGATGGCAAGAGTGGAGTTGGAGCCGTGATCAAAGAAGCCACGAGGATTCTGTCCTTGCAAGCACTGAGATGGTGTGTATCCGCCGTACTCAAGCATAAAATTCTGGCACATCGTACACTCGAACACTATGTCCTCGTCGGGAACCACGAGACCTTGCTTGGCCGCACTGGTCTTGCACTTCAACGACGATGTCTTGATGAGGCCGATGTGTCGTTCTGCAAGCCCCGTGACTGTGTGCTTGCCTGAATCATCCGAGCCGCCCAGCTGTCTGTGTATGCTGTAGCGGTCGCACACCACTGCAAAATCGTCTGAGCGAACGCCGCCTTCTTGATCGAACTTGATGCACTTAGGAGGTCCGAAGTATCGAAACCAAGCTCGTAGCATTGCCTGGGCTATGTGGAACGCGTCCTTCTTGGGTAGTACTTCGGCCAACTTCCATCTGATCGCCTCGTCGACCATGAGCAGGAAGGTCTTACCAAATATGAAGAAGAGGTCGCACACCATGACTTCGCCGAACCAACCTGCCAACTCTGCTCGATACCTGGGCTTGGTCGCTATGGGTGCCCAGTCGTTGCACTCCTCACATGCCGCAATGACCTGCTTGGCCAGCTCCAGACACTTGTCCGGTACCCCGAGCCGCCTGAGAAACTTCTCCATGCCTGGTAGCTGCTCGTGCCAAAGTCGTTCATGAAGACCCTTCAGCAGGCGGAATCGTTCGGCGTCGGACTCCGTCTCCTTCAGCTGTTGCCTCAACTTGGTGAAGTCGAAGCTCGGAGCTGTGGTGATGAGCTTGAGCCTCGGTAGGATCCTCCGCTCAGCGTCTTCCTCCATTGTAGGTGGTGGTGCATGACCTTGAGCCACGATAAGCCACTTGTGTCCTCGAATGCCGTGATGCTGCTGTGCTGGAGTGAGTCCGTCTAGTCGTTCTAATGCCGAAGATTCCCACTTGTCGATATCTGCGCCGAGGAAGGTAACTCGAAACGGGCTGTCATCTATCGAGGTGGTGTTGGATGTCTCCAAGCTGTTCGGCTGAAAGGTGATGTGCAGTGAGTCGACGTCCATCAGTGGTCTCAGGAGCTCGACCAAAATTTGAGCGGTGCCGTCGGTGTTGTCGCCCAGGTCGAGCTGCTGCTGAGTATTGGGTGCTGTGAGTATTCCTGTGTGCTGTCCTGCCAGGTCTGCAAGAATACGAGCCAACCATATCTGATCCAAGTTCTTCAGCTGCTCGTGAATGTTCATGGTGAAGTCGTCTACCTTGACTCGCCGTAGCCGGTCGTAGGCCAGCTTCATCTTGACAGTGCCGTTGGCTGGTCGCTGTAGTGGTTGTATTTCTCGCGTCGCAGGTACTACGGCTGCTGCTGGTGCTGCTGGTGCTGCTGGTGCTGCTGCTGAGCTTGATGCCGAAGCCGAATTTGATGGTGGTTGTAGGATGTTCTCGTCAAAATGTTCTAATGGTCGTGGATCGGGTGCTGGAGCCGGTGGTGCTAGCTGTCGAGGTGGAGCTGACGCTGCTGGTGCTGCTGCTGCCTTGGCTGCTGGTGCCTTGGCCGCTGGTCGTGTCAACGTCCGTCTGGGATCTGCTTTAGGTGCCAGCTTGCAGTTCCCTGGAATTCTGCTGTGCTCACGCTCGCCGCCGTACTTGCACTTAGGGCAGGCCCAGAAGATCTCCGTGTCGTTCTTCTGAGTGTGTAGCCCAGTACTGCCAAAACCATTCTTGCCGCGCTCGGTCTCGTCCTCGTCGATGCGGTCGTTGAGCTGTACTGGTGGAGTCTGGATCTGCACGATCATGAGCTGAGCAATCCTGTCGCCACTCTGGCATACAAAGCGAGACTTGCCACGATTTTCCAATATCACGATGAGCTCACCTCTGTAGTCAGCGTCGATAACTCCTCCGTTGATGCCGAGACCTTGCCTCAACGCTAGGCCCGACCGAGGCCATAGCTGGCCAGCAGTGCCTGCTGGAAGTGCCAGCCTGAGCCCGGTGTGAAATCCACGCCATTGTCCAGGTTCCAGAAAGCCGTCAGTAACCGTAGTGATGTCGTATGCCGCCGCACCGTCGCTGCCGAGCTGTGGTGCCGTCGCCTTAGGGTGAAGTAGCTGAACTCGCACTGCTTCTGTGTTCGGGCCTCCGTGATGCATGTCGATGTTGCTGTACACGAGCGTCGCCAGCATCAGAGCGCAGGTGAACTTGCGCGCGAAGGAAGTGATGTCGCTGATGAGTGCCCGGCACATCGTGCGAGTGTATACCGTAGTAAGAGCTGCAGTCTTGGAGCTCGTGCCTGGTACTGAGCCCTCGATAACTGCATGTCGTTGAACTCCATGACCAGGGCATCGTCGGATGGTCTTCTTCAGCTGTATGTTGGCGTCGAGCCTGTAGGGCTTCTCCAGCGGTTCGTTGTTAGTGTTCATGCAGCCGTGAGCACATCCATCGACTCGCCGAGTCCTATTGCTGACGATGTCCTGATTCTGCTTCAGCGGTGACTGTGTCCAGAGCTGGGAGCGCAAGCCGTTCTCGTTGATGTAGCCATGTCCGTCTTGATCTTGAACGACGTTGTCGTGATAAAGCCACTCCAACATAGGAAACTCTGCTTGTCGTTCGGCTGCTGCAACTCCAGCTCCTCGCATGTTGCTCGTGGCTGTCCATAGCCTGCAATCTGGAGATGAGAGCTTGACTATGGGCTTGAAGACGGTCTGGACCTTGCTCACCAGCTTCCGATGCTCGGGGTTCATGAGGTCCCAGCCGTAACGGTAGTCGACTGGAAAGAGCACTGTGAGTCCGGACCTTACTGCTGATAATAAGAGCCTTCCTGATCCAGACCACTGCTCTTGAAAAGCCCAGACTACTTGAAGGCCATGATGAATGTGGAACCACTTGTCGAAACTGTCTGGAGTCACGACCTCGTAGCCTGTCTTGGTGTAGAACTCCTCTGGGATGTCCTTATATCTCTGCTTCAGCCACGCCACGTGCTCGCTGGAGAGGTAATCTGGGAAGCTGTCCTCCACGTAAGCCTGACCGCCCCAGTGCCGAAGCATGCCGTGGTGTTCAGCTGTGCCAGTGAATATCGCTGCCCTGGTAGGTGCACTGTCCACTGGCGCTTCTTGTCCGGTAGTGCTGCCGTCCCTTGGTGCCGAGGATGTTGATGCCATGAGGTGTGTCTTCTGCGGAGTTGAACTCTGGTCCTCCTGGGTGCAAGAGGAAACAAATGCCGCAGTATCTGCCTTGAGAATATTGGCGTTGATGTTCTTCACTGTGTGCATCAGCACCTCGACCACTTGAGCTGAAACTGCTGGTTCCTCGCGCTGCTGACCTTCGGGATCGCCCGTCGGCAACAGGTGGCGGCTGCTGTCCGTGAGAAGGACCCTGACCACATGCACGCCCGACGGGTCGCTGTCAGAGGCCAGCGCAAGAGCTCCATTGCCGTCATCTGTGAGTCCATGCACGAGTAGAGCTCTGTAGTGAACCAGAAGAGGCAGCGGCAGCAGGAACGGGCAGTTGGAGCCGCTCTCGCCGATGAGGTCGCCGTGCCAGACCAACTCGAGACGAGAGCACCGAGCCTTCTGTGCCACATGTCCCAGTCCAGAAGTGGGTCTGCCATTGATGCCCGCGAAGCTGCCTGATCCTGGGGTGATCTTGTAGTTCTGAGTGTCCTTGCCATTGTGCTGCAGCAACGTATCTGTGCCGCAGATGCCAGAAGCCGCTCCAGGGTCGATGATGAATCCTTTGCGCTGTCGACCTCTGACAAGATGGTACGCCTCGAAGGTGTCCTCGCGCTCGCGGAAGATGCTGAGGACAAACGCTGAATTCTTTTTGTCGATCGAGCTTGAGCTTGCTTCTGCTCTGCTGGTCGATCGTGCTGCGGGTAGATCTGGGTACTGCTGCTGAGTAGGTAGGCCCAGCCCGAACATAGCATGCTTCTTCTCGTTCCGAAAGAACTTCGAGACCGTCGCCTCGCCGAAGTCGAAGATGCGCTCCTGCGTGGACTTGTCGTCCGAGATTGTGGTGTGAGCGTCCGAGGCCTGCTCCGAGGGGATATTCTGCCAGGAGCCGGCGTCGCTCGAGTTCGGTCGAGTCGGAGGTCGAGGTGATGGTCGCCATGGATCTGACGGCTGTTCGAACCAGGGATCCTTGCCGTCATAGCCTGCGATGTCCTCTTCAGTGGCCATGCCGTGAGTCTCCTCCTCGATTCTCGCTTCTTCTTTCCTGATTGCCGTCGAGTATCGTTGTTCTGCCACTGCTCCTGGATGTCGGGCTATGCTGTCGAAGCCGTCCGAAGGTGTCGAAGGAGGTGGCGCCGCGATGTCTGTCGCCGTCGTGTCCTTCGCGGTGTTGGTGCCGAGTCCGACCAGAAAACCTTTTCTGCTGGAAGCTTTGTTGACCGGGCAATCCTTCACGCTGTGCCACCGGCTGCCGCACTTGTCACATCCAGAGCTTGATCCTGAACCTCGCGTGTTATGTACGGCCGATCCTGCTGGAACTTGAGGTTGCTGTCCAGATCCTTGATGCAAGTCCATCACAGGGCCATGTCGATCATCCGAGCCTGTACCTTTGCCCTTCTTGCCTTTGCCTTTGCCCTTACTCTTGCCCCTGTTACCATAATAATCACGTCCTCGCCGATCCTTGCCACCTGCCTTTCCACGACCAAACGTGCGTGATCTGTTCTTGCCTTTGCCACCTTTGCTTGAACTCCTGCGACGAAATCCGTAGCCACCTTTACCATTACCGTAGCCTTTGCCTTTTCGTCGCCCTCCGTATTTGCCGTAGAAAGCCAGATCATGAGGAGGACCGTCGAATGGGTCATCGAGTAGAGCTTCTTCGTCATCATGATCTTCATCCTGTTCGTAATCTTCATCATCTTGATAATACCATGCCTGAAACTCGTTTGCACTCCAAGTGCCGCCCCAGCGATCAGAAACCATATATGAAAGATAATCCATGTCCTCTGAAGCAAGGTTGAGGTAATATGCCTGCTCGTGGGTGTAGTCGTATATGTACCAGCTTCCGTCGTAATCAGTGAAATGCTCAACCTGGCTGTATTCTGGGTCTTCATCATCATCATCATAAGTCAATAAAATACCCTGCGTGTCGCCGTCGCCGATCTCCTTCTGTCCTTTGCGGAACTTCATCAACAGCTTGTAAATATCAGTGAACTGGCTCCTGTCGCCGTCTACTTTGAGCATCAGGTCGTCTATGAATCTCGGAGCCAGTCCAGCCTTGGCGAGCAAGAGGTGTGTCAAACCGACTTGGTTGATGTTCAGCGTCGCGTGCTCTTCTGCTGCCTCATATCGTAACTTGAAAGCCGTTAGATAGTCCAAGAGCGAGTGCGAACCACGATGTAGGTCGAAGAATCTGTCAAGGTGGAACGCCTGCAAGTCTTGACTGTCGTCGCCGAATGCCGTTCTGAGATCCGCTAATATCTGCTGCAGTCCTGAAGGTGTGGCCGATAGGCCAGCATTGAGATCCTCAGGTTCCGCCAGCGCATTCACCGCCTCGTCCTGGTAGAGCATGCTGCCGTCCTGGCGCCTGAGCCGTATCTTCATCGCGATGCGATAAGCCGAGCCCTTCAGTCTGCCAACAACCACGCTGCCCTGGCAGTCGCCAGGGATGTCTGTCATTCTCATCCAGAGCCGCAACTTCTCCTCGTAGGTGATCAGCGAATAACTGCGAACATATGGCCGCCATCCTGGCGGGCACTGCCTAGTATACTCGTCCAGCGGAATGCCTCGAAGGTCTGCTGAAGCCGCCATAGTGCATGGCTGATGTCGTACTTGTAGATCTTGATTTACTCGAAGGGGTACTTGTCAACGACGAGTCGCTGACCTTCGCGAGCTGCTCGGAGGAGCCCCCGCGGTATTGCTGCTCGAAGACGTGTTCGTATGTGTGAACTGTGGAGTAGCTGAACTCCTCGATCTCCTGCGAGCAAGAGATGAACAATCCACGAAATACGTAGAGTACCTGAGAGATCGTAAAGTGAGCTTTACGATATCGAAAGGAACTACGGGTCCGAGGACCGGTAGCTCCGCTACCAAAGTCCGATTTACGGCTAGCTTGACCCAAGACGTCTATAGCACGGATTGCCTTCTGTCTGCTACTCTATCTGCTGCTAACACATGCCTGGAATCTACCTGGATTCTGACTGAAGGGAGGGAGGGGGAGGGAGAGATGGGCGGAAGGAGTGAGGGAGGAAGTGATGGAGTGAGGAAGTGATTGAAAGAGTGAGTGAGGACGGAAGTGAGCGACGGGAGGGAGGGATCGAGATAGAGATAGTAGAGGTAAAGAGAGTGAGAGAGAGAGAGAAAGAGAGAGAGAGAGAGAGAGAGAGAAAGAGGAAGAGAGAGAGGGAGAGAAAGAGAGAGAGAGAGAGAAACCGGCAGATAAAGCAATACATATATGTATATATATTTAGAGAGAGAGAGAGGGAGCCCGCCCCACGCGTGCCCAGACCTTGACGAGAAGACAGAGGAGCGGACGAGCATGGGCGAACCAGATCCTGCAGGAAGACGAGCGATGGGAAGGCAGAATAAGGCCATCGACGCCACGTCTGGACTCGCCTCGAAATCGTCCAAACCACCCCCACCCAACCCGAAATCCCGCACACCGATTGTTGTTTGGGGAGGGTCTGGGACCTCAAATGTGAGGTCCCAGACCCTCCTCAAACAAATCTGCGTGGGGGGTCTGCGTAGGTCGTTTTTGCAGATCCACGACAGGACGACGACAACAACTACGGCGAGGAGGCCGAGGAGTCAGAAAATCCAGACGAGTTCGTGAAAGATGAAGAAATAGAAACAGAGGAGGCGGAGGAGGACAACGAGGAGCAGAACAACGAAGGTGAGGAGGAAGAGGAGGAGAAGAACGATGAGGACGAGGAAAGCGAAGAGGAGCCTGAGGAGCCAGTCCTCAAACGGCCAGCTGCAGCAGATAAGAAACGACCATCAGCTGCAGCAACAGATCAGATGAAACGACCAGCAGCTGCAGCACCACCAGATCAGATGAAACGGCCAGCTGCAACGTCCGCTGCCGACGAGGAACTCCACCTCCTGCTCATCCTCATCCCCCCGTCCGCTCCCTCGTCATCCCTGTCCAAATGAGGATGAGTTCGACTACGGCTACTGCAACATGATGCAAGCTCCTTATAGCGTGTGCCGCTTCGGGAACCAGGAGCGAGACTATGACGTGATCTTCGTACCAGATGGCGCGTCTGGGTCCGACTCAGCCAAAGCAAGGTTGTGAGATATGAACGGGATGAGAGGCCTCCCGAGGGCCCAGGAGGAGGGAGGAGATGCGGATGATCGGTAGGAGAGGAAACATGAGGAGAGGAAAGGCGGCGGAGGACGAGATGAGGTGAGGAGATGACGAAAAGCGGAGATGAGGAGGATCGGGGGGAGATGAGAGAGGGGAGGAGACAGCTGGCAGGACGAGGAGAGGAGGGGACTTAAGGTATGGGGAGGATCGGCCAGCAGGTGGAGTGACAACACGGTGAAGGATGTACCGCAGCTGCTGTGCAACGACGTGAAGACGGTCAAGGGTGGCGCATCATCAGGTGTATCGTGTGGACACATCACGAGGACGACGAGGTGAGACTCAAGGGCGTGCGGTGCAATGAGCGTGGACATGACTTCATCAAGCTGTTGGACACCAAAAAACAACCGCCAACAATGACGCAGGTGCAGATCAAGTGGTTTGGCGGGGACTTCGACGCAGCGAAGCGGTACATCATCATGATCGGCAATCGCTATCTTGCTGACGGCTCTAACGTTGAAATCATATCGTTCTCAGCCCCCCCCCGCATCAAATTTGACCCCGCGGATGGCCAGGGAAAGGAAGAAGAGCACAGGGAAGAGGATGAGGAGGTACGAGGAGGCAGTTTGCGGAGAGGTGACCTGCCATCCCCCCCCCAATACAAGGCTGGACGAAGGAGCAGATCGAGAATCACAAGAAGGAGACGCTCGGCACCCAGATGGCGGTGGCCAAGGCCAAGGGCAAATCCAAGGGGAAATCGAAGGCGAATGCGAAGGAGGAGAAGACGGAGGAGAAGAAGGAGTCGAAGGAGAAGGCAGTGACGAAGGACAAGTCGACGGAGAAAGCTGGGGAACATGCATATCCACCGCCTGGGGAACCGATGTCCGTGGGCCGCAGGTCCGCAGGAATATCGGTTTTCCAAGAGATGGGTATGGATGAACCTCAACCTCGAAAAGGGTGCGTCCGAGTGGGATGAGGATGACGACTCCGCGGGGACCCAGCCATGGGACGCCAGACCGTCGCCCGTGGACAACGACCCGAGCACGCCGCCGCCGAAGAAGGCGAAGATCGGTGATGAAGGTTGAATGGAGACCTTATCATCTGGGATTGCAGTCCTCTGACACCATCCTCGAGGAGCTCCTCGAGGAGGGTGTCAGCGGATGTCAGGGGATGTCGGATGTCAGAGGATGGGGAAGATGACTCGAGGATGTCGGGGAGAAGCATGCAGTAGGATCCTACTGCATGCTTCTCATTCCCCCCCTGCTCCTCCAGGTGCTGCGCCATCAGGGGCATCGGCGGCGGCAACGGGCCCCGTGCAGGAGATGTCCCCGATACGGCTGCCAGACGACGATGAGTGAGGCAGGCAAGCAGCGATTCGACAATCTGTGGATCACACGGGCTAGCCTGAAAAATAAACGGTCCTTGCATCCTTGCTCCTCCCCCTCAGATCCAGGATGAGCATGCAACCACGCAAAAGGAACCTTGCATCATTTGATTGCTCAACCGCGTAAGTTGTACCACATGCGTCACAGTGCACCAGTATAGAGGCATCCTAGATAGGTGTCCGAGTAATGTCGATCGGAGGATCGCGCTGCATCGCCGATGCATCGCCGATGCATCGGCGGCGGCGGCGGCGGTACATCGGCAACGTCCGCGTGGGGAAACACGGGCTCCACATCGAGCCGCATCGTCGATGCATCGGCGATGCGGCACGATCATCGACCCCATCTACTCGGACCCCATCTGGGAGGCCTAGAACCAGCACATGCAACACACTGTTTGGGGTCCATGCTGATTGGTCTTATGCAGCTATATTGGCTGCAAGGGTTGAGCGTGTGTTCCCTCCCCCCCTGCGCTGACCAACGGTCAGACATGCAGCACCCACAGCAGCAGCAACAGCCGTGCGAGCATGATGGTGATGATGGCGGCTGCAGCTGGTACACGGGGAACGCGACGTTTCCGTCGGTTTGAGGGGCGACAAATTCAACCACCCAAACGTTCAACCCTTGCTGACATATATAGTAGACGTTAACCTCATAAGGGCTTCGGGGTCCAGCCGCCTGCTCACGCTGCACCGCGCCGTGGTGCCACGCCAGCGTCTATGGGGCCACCTCCAGCACCAGGCATGATTTTGGGGAAACCTCCACTATCGGAGAAGGGGGATACGAGGGGGAGGAACGGGAATCAATGGAGGTAAATCGCAACATGCAGGCCTGCATGTGGCAACTTACCCGCGGAAGGCATCCAGAGCATCGATGACTTTGAGGCGAAGCTGGCGGAGAAGAATATCGCCCCATGCGTTCCTGCGGACGCTCTAGCACCGATGGCTGCTGCTGCAGACGACGCTTGCAGGGATGAGGTGCTGGAGCAGGCGGCCGCCAACGGCTGGCAGTTCCCGATGAAAGGCAAGCTCGGCATGGCGTTCTATAGGGACATCCCGAAGCTGGAGTTCCAGGCCATGAGTGACGCTGACAAGGCCGAGCGCAAGAAGAATTGGATCAAGCGCAAGTACGACACTTACAAGGCCCCCCCATCCGAAATCAGCTTAAAAGGGGACACCACCCCATATAATACCCCACCCTCGTATCCAGATCCTTATGGTATGTATGCAGATTATCCTGCAGGCGGTTCGCGAGCACGCGACACAGCACGACAAGTCGAAGAAAACCTGGGGGCGGATGCTGAACATCGACGCGATCATCAAAGAGGACTGTGGGTGGATGGGGATTGATGCTGAGGAGGATGAGGACAAGGACGATGCCGAGGATGAGAAGGAGGAGGAAGAGGAACCACGACGAGGTGGAGGAGGGCAAGAAGGGAGGAGAGAAGAGAGCGCGACATGGCCATTGCAGGAGGGCGGCCACCACTCGAGGCGGGTGATAGAGGGCGCCAAGAACTACTGTCACAACGCTGTGAAGTTGGGATGGTAACCTTCCTCCTCCTCCTCCTTTTCCTCCTCCTCCGCCTCCCCTTCCGCCTTCTCATCGTCCTCGTCCTTCCGCATTCTCATCGTTCTCATCTCCTCCTTCTCATCGTCCTCCATCCTCTGGCACAGTCTGTCGAATCGCTCCCAGCCTTCGCTGCTGGGGGTCCTGCGGTATTCGAGTATTGGCTTCGGATTCCAGGTACGCTCGCAATGCTATGACTGGACGCATGGAATATTTATACGTTCAGAGGGGCTTCGAGGAAGTGTTCAAGGAGCGGTGGATGCTCCGCGAGAGGGAGGTCACTGAGGGCAGGGCGAGCCAGGCATAGCTTCCTCCTGTCCTCCTCATCTCTCCTCCTCACCACCACTCCTCCTGTCTGGCAGGCAGTGCCGAAGTCAACGAGCGCTCCTCCTGCAATTGCTGCCGCTCCCCCTGTACCGCTTCCCCCAGCGCCCGACGTAGCTGACGATACCCCAGCCAAGACCAAGGCCATAGGATATGGATAAGGAGGAGATGACAAGGAAGATGAGGAGGCGGAGGAGCAAACATGAGCATGAGGAGGATGAGGGTCGAGGATCGCA